GCTAATTTAATCTCAATTAATTTTAGATCGTTTCAGATCCCGTTTTAATAAAATGTCTTTTAAATATTTATGAAGCAGACTATTAGAATTGGAAACATTCACAAATGTTTTACTTTCCAGTCGCAGAACGTTCTGTTTTATTTCTTACCTGACAGAAAATTTTCTATGCAAATTGAGGTTTAAGTTGTTCACTTAAGAAACAAATTGCACTTTCCAGATTTAAGTAGATATGCATTACTTCTTAACCTGTATGAAACGTATTTTATCAAATTCGTAGTAAACGAGTGAATCACGATGAAAAGTGCTCTCAAATAAATGGATTTGGCATGTTTCTACTTGTTTAGTTCTTAGTATTCAGTGACATTTAAATGGAATTACAGCTAAAAAATTACCCTAAAAGCAACCCTTATAAAACTACGTAATGAATAAAGCTCAGCTCTCTAAATATGGATACCTATTTAGGTAATGAAGGGGATAAAATAAATGTTCGTACGTCCTTTATTTTATATCCTGTACGGCATATAAAATAACTAACATTAGAAATCTACGAATACACTATGTCTTTGTTTTAATTCTTAATTATTTTAAATTCCTAGCATATTTCAACTTTTTCTGTCCAAAAATAATGAGAAAAAATGCTCTTCTTAAAAACCACCAAACAGTATAACTATCTATTTTTGCCCTGTTGATATATTTTGTTATGATATGAAGGCATTTCAAGGGGAAAAAATCGATAACTTTTATTTTTACTTGATGCACGACTATTGCCTACATATAGAAATTAGTTTAAAAAGGAAATTAATGTTAAATTGTCTATCTATCTTCAACTAATCAGGAAAAACGAGAAATTTATTTACATTTTTCCGGTTGAACAAGAAAAAAGAAATATCGGAAAAAAACTAAATAGTTCCGTCAGAACGTCTTCCCGTTTTTTTCTTTGCTTTTATTTGCCTTACAGCAAAGCCAATTACAAAGCAATTTCTGTCAAATTAGTATTCTAAAAAGACGCTACCGAATAAAACGCTTTAAAAAATAACCCAATTTGTTTATGAAAGAAAAATACCTGAGAGAATATTCCAATTTTATTATATAATCTAATTGTGTATATTTTAAGATAACAATTTAAAAGGGAGAATATTAGTATGCTGCGCGGACCTCTCTGACAAACCTCTGAAAGAGGTTGAAAGTCAAGCCCCTGGGACCAAACCGAACAATCTTTTGCATAACAACCAGCTCGGATTTGTTAGGTACTCTGTACGTTTTTTTACATTTTAAAAATACACTTTCCAATGCAGAACTCAAATTGAAACTAAACATGGAACTTTCCAGCCACATAGGTGCTTTCAGTTTAAACTTTTCTTGTCAATATTTTACAAAATCGTTTTTGGCCTGCCTTTTTTAACTTTTCTACAACGCATCAATATTCTATAACTTGTAATATGAATACATAACCTTAACCGTTACATATCTTAAGAAATATTTGTAACAAAAATTTAATATCCCTGCATATTTATGTACAGGGTGTCTCACTAAGAATTAATAGCTTTCGGCTGTATCTCGGAAACTATTAGTCGTAGGGCTTGCGTCCATGGAAATTGATGGAAATTATTTTTAAGTTTATAGAATGGCCGCTAGAGGGCACAACTCCTATGGAAAATAAGAAAATGATTTTTTTTTGTTTTGAAGTTTGGCCTAGATAAGGTGAACTGTTTTTGTTTAAATATTAATAACTCCGGGCTGGGTCAACGGAATCCAACAAACGGGGGCTCGTTTAAAAGAGCGTTTCTTACTCTATATTATAGGTACTATATAAACAATAATAATAAGCTTTTGAATGTGGATGCTTGGGGGCGCTGTCTTACAATTTAACAAGCATTGCGCGTTTTTTTTTCAAAAAAAAAAAAATAAATGCGATAGTATATGTATATTTTTTAAAGAAGATTTTTTTGATGTAACTATTTTGGAACAAAACTCATTCTATAATGATACTGATTTTTAATGCTGCTTATTCAAGATAGGTTTTGTAATTCTTACTAAAAAAAATGGATCAACCAGCTTTCAAAAATGAAAACTCAGATGAAAAGTGTCTTAACCAGCCATAACTTATAAAAAAAAACAATTATATTTTGACATTCAAATTCTTTTTGAATGTCGAAAGCCTTATAATTTGCGGCAATATTCTATCGAGAAAAAATGTAATTATCAGCAATATTGCGGGCAAAGTTTACAAAGAACCTCGCTTCCTTTGTGATGGCTATCTTAATACAATTTAATGGAAACTATTTACCAGTCAGGCTTTATCGCATAAACTTAACATGTTTGATGTACGAAGTTCTCTTCGGTTAATTTTGCAGGATTTATCATTATATTAAGCCTTCTGCTATATATCTATTTCCGATATCAATTGGTCAATAATAGTAATTACTGATCATAATACAACGAACAATATATTTGTAAGACCTTTATGATGTGTAGTAACATGTTATATAAATACACGCAAATGCAAATAAAAAGCAGCGAAAATTTTATTGTTTTATTTGTTATACAGGGTGGTCCGAACTGTATTAAAAATGAGTAAAAAAGTTCGTAAAAATGTATGTCCTAAAATGCTTAGTTTCGGAGATACAGGGTATAAAAGTTTCATTTTTATTTCGATTTTTTCCAAATAATTTCTGAACTAACATCAATATTTGGATGAAAATTGGTGTTTGGGAGTTTTTTGACATGGGAAATTTGATTTTGATGTATAACTCCTACTTGTAGAGGGCGCCACCTACATATTTTTAACTGGTTTGGCGGCTAATAATGTTTCATCCGTACCTGTGTAAAACAGCAGAGTAAAAAAATATACATTTAGTAATATCTTGAGAACAGTTGCTCGAAGCGATTTTTACGAAGAGACATTTTTTACGTAAAAAATCAAAAAAATGTAAATTCTTTCACTCAGTAGTTTTATTACAGTTGAGGGTTGGAACCTTTGGTGTTACACAGCAAAATAAAAACACTAAATCACCAATCAAACTTATGATTATAAACTAGTTTATAATCATCTGCTGATGATGCTAACATGGTTAGCGAAACACGCATCCAGTGTAAAAGTAAAAGTGTTTTGGTGTATTGTGGTGATTTAGTGTTTTTATTTTGCTCAGTAGTTTTATACAAGTACGGAAGAAAAGTTATTACTCTTCAAAACAGTTAAAACACATGTAGGTGGCGCTCCCTACAAATAGGAGTCATATTGACATCAAAATCAAATTTCTCATGTCAAAAAACTCCAAGACGCCAATTTTGATCCAAATGTTGATGTTACTTTAGAACTTATTTTGAAAAAAATCGAAATAAAAATGAAACTTCTACACCCTGTATCTCCGAAACTAAACATTTTAAGACAAACCAAATTAAGTGAAAAATATTTTTTTCTGCAGAATAAAGTCGCCGTTTCCGGAATACAGTTCGGACCACCCTGTATAATATGTCATTTATTTGAATACTTTTTTAAACTTCAATAAAAGTATTTTTATTGAAGAAAGAAAAAGTTTTATATCTTATTTAAAATTAAAAATGAAATCTAGTTGTTTATATATGAATTGTTAATTACTAATTTTTGTTCTAATTATAAAAATGATTCATATTATCATTTATAAATTGAACTCGTTTAAATTTAATTAGATACGTTTATAATTAAAACTATATACTCGACATTTTAATGTTATTAATATATATGTTATTGTATTTTTGTGTTTATTAAATTTTTTTACCGACTAAACTCACCTATTTTGATAAATGGAATTGAAGGAGAACCCGAAACTTTTGAATTAATAATATCCATATAAAAATAACCGTAGTATTTTCATTTTATGAAAATTTAACGACAATAAGATAATTTGCTATAATTTGGTTTGGCTTGCTCAAAATTAAGGAAAGGTGACTGGACTGGGTCAGGTACTTAGACGCGGTTATAAAGGGATTCTCAGCTCCAGAAATAGATCCCTCGGGAATTGTATAACAAGGGTAATGCTATCATTCAAAATAAATGCAGTTTTGCTGACTATGTCGGCTTAAATTGATTAGGCCTTATTTGATAAATGGCCGGAATAAAGCTTTCTTTTCCTCTCAGATGTTTTATTTTTACAGGTCAAATCTTATAATTTATTGCGTTGTTCTCTTTCTACTCAATTGAAATATTATGCAGCCTCAAACCATCCATTTGCAATTTTATAATAAAAATATATGTTTTATATAACTTCTCACAGGTTAATTTAAAATTTGTAGGTGATAAAAAATACTAATTCTTTGGAAGTATATTAACCAATATACTGGCTAATAATAAGTCATGTTAAAAATCGAACACAAAAAAATTGTTAACGTAAAAAGGCTCATAAATAATAGTTTCAATACAAAGTTTAGTGACAGCAGGGTAGACTTAAAAGTAATTAATGTTAATTTAACAAATAGTAATAATGGGAAACGCTACGCGTCACACTCTGAAACCATATTGTCAACCCATGTTAAAGAAAACCGAAGCATCGGAGACAGAGTATCCGTCATTGCTTGGGAAAACCATATCTTGACAATAGGTAAATGCTATCTAACTAAAATTGGAATCTAATAATACTTCTGTTATATAAAACTTCAAGAAATTTGCTTAGAGTGTGCATCGTAGCTATTACATATTTTCTAAATAACAGCCTAAAAACATACCCCTATTCAACATATATAATAATTTGCCAACTTTTGAAATCATGAACAAAAAGTAAAGAAGAACGGACAGGCATTTTGATGTATGAATTCTCTGTTATTAATACTTTGCAAAAACTTTTTTTCATAACACTGAATATAAGGAAAGTCATAACATTTGAAGTGTAATTCATCATCCATGTTTCACTGTAAAACTTTTCATATTTTTGTATTTGCTCTAAAACTACGCTTATGTATGCTGTTTTTTTTTCGTGAATAGCTTCTTGTTCTCCTTTATCTCTGATAGGTAATAAAATAGAATAATAGTTAAAAAAACTTTTGAATTTAATTAAAATTATTTAAAATGTACAATTTATAACAACTTAAATATGACTTACTATACAGTTATTTAAATAATACACATTTACTGCCTAAAGAAGATCCTCGTCGTCGTTGTAACTCTGAAAATTAAAAAAATGTTAATCTATAAACATTCTTGCTAAGTATGAAGAATTCCGGTTAAAAGAAAAATTAAATATTTTGAGTAGACGGTTATTAAAAAACAACGTGGAGTGGCTTTAATATAAGAATATAATTTAGAGATTTTAATAAAAAGGTGATCGCAGCGTATATATATTAAGAGGGCGTCTTACGAAGCTAATATCAAGGAAAGCAAATAAAACGTCAAGTGGAGAAGTGGAGATCATTTTCTTCTGTATCGTTCAGTGTACCGTATTAGTTAAATTATTTATTTAATGATGGTAAACAGTGACAAAACGCACAATAGAGATTCAAAAAAGCCTATAAAACTTATCTTTTCGGTTCTAAATGTTCTCATTTTTTTGTCCATTTACCCTTGCTCTTAGCATACATGTAAAACAATTTTTACCTTGATTTCAGTGCCAGATGAGTAAAGTCCAGTAAAATTAGATTAAGAGACCGCCTCAGTTCTTAAGCATCTAAAAAACTAAGTAAGTAGCGCTGTTTTTAGTTAATATTTTTATTTGGTTTTATTATAGGTAGTTATATCAATACAGAAATTGCCTTAAAAATAATCTGTTAAATGTTCGATATTTTTTAGAAAGTCTTGGATGGGAATGTGAAAACAAAAAGGCCAACATCACTCACGATGTGCTTGACAAAGATAAAAGAACAAAGACGCGATATTACGCAGAAACGGCACGCTGATATACAAATGTAGATGTCATAATTATTAAAGAGATCTAGACATATAACTATTTTATGCAGTTTCATTTCAAACTGTAATTTAATACCGCTATATTCACCTGTATGTGTTTGGTGTTTTGTGAAAAGCGGAATTCAAAAGCGTTTGAGAACAGGCAGTATCATTAACACAAAAGAAAACTGCATACATAACTAAGGTTCCGTTTAAAATATGTATATAAGCGATGATGTTATCAATCTCTCAATAAGAAAATTATCAAAATTACTATAAATAAAGGAGAAGACTGAATAAAAAAATAAAAATAATAACATTTTTAAACTATAAAGATTCAAATTAATTTTAGTGTGAAAGCCCTTTCAAGACTAAGAGAAAATTTTATTTATTTAATAACACTGAAAGCGTATTCCTAAAAAGCATCACTTTTAGACTGTTTACAAAACTTAATTAGCTGTAGAATCGCCACTTAAAGTTTCTTCTATTCCTAAAAGCTAAAATGGTTTTTTATTAATAAGGGTTAAGCTGGAAGCTTCAAGATTACCCATTGAAATTATTTTTTTATTTATAATTTGGTTAAATCTACTTTAAAATTTCATTAACTCTCAACGTTAGTTTTATTCGATTTACACACATTGTTAAATCAAAAAATACATTTTATTTTTACGCAGTCATCAAAAAACAACAGCATTTATCTATATATTTTTTTATTGTAAATATTTATTTAGGGCGATTTTTCGACATTTTTTCATACATGAAATTTGGCGATTTTGTGGGAAAACCTGTTAATAACTAACTAAATGGTGTAGAAAAAGAAAGTTTGGGCTGTTCTGGCCCTATGGGTACTGTACTTGATGCAGAAGTTTAATTGATCATTAAAAGTAAATTTTATCGACTCTAAAAAATCGCCCAAAAACAATGCTTCGAAAAATCTACATTTTCACAAAACCAACGCCTCTAAGTCTTTTAATGTACATAAAATGACCTACAGATGCTGAAAATTTCAACATTTTTTGACCATGTTTACTATCTCTCTGAAAACATTGAAAATCTAGTAACTATCAAATATTTAATAATAATATATTAACACTAACACATTTGTAAATGTAATGTTCTTGGATAGTTGCAGTATTAGCCACTAAAATATATTAAATTTGTTATACAGACAGTAAACGCCTCTAAGCAAGACCAAGACATCATCATTAAGGCCTAATTAAATTTCTACTTGAGAGATCAAAGATGTAGGCCTACAACTTTGAAATTAAGAGGTATAGGGGCTTGTATGTTTGGTCTGAGCAATTTCACCTTAAAAACTTCGACAAATAGGGGAAAATCTCCAGTGTTATTCTTGTACTGTGTCAATTTCTAATATTTGTCTTGTTAACTCGTTTCAAATAAACATTAAATTAATTATTTAATGAGGTTTTCGTGCTGATGTTCGAATAAAAAATAGAGAACGCAAATGTAACTTAATCTCATAAATTTCGCCTTAACAACTCTATTTTTTTTTATTTTGAACAACCATAAGTCAAAATTCTTTTGATAGTTATATGCAAACTTGTATGTACAGCACTGAATTTTGAAATTCTTTAATATAAGATTCAAAAAAATATTTTCATTTTATTAGAAGATATGTTAAAATATAGCGTTATTGCAAGTGCTCAACACCTTTTATTATTTTAAATTAGGAGCGATTTGACATCTCCAAAGCAAAATTTATCTTTCTCTTAAGCAACTCCGCTGAAAGATTGAACAAATTTGACCCGTGTTTCTAAAAATCCGCCAATATGAGACCGATTTAAGCGTAAGCTGGAGGCAAAGGGTCCTATCTCTCTCCATAGCACGCTTATTTTCAGTTCGCCTATCTCTTAACCGCCGAAGCTTCATTTCGTAAGCTTTCAGTTTAACAAATGGTACTTCAGAGGTTGGATTGCCCGTTACTAGGGCCATTTCGATTCTTATAATCTACATTTTAGATTTGATTTGCCCTTGCCGACAATATGGATTTAGTTCCATTATTTATTAGGCCGCTGATACCATATTTTTCATATTTATTGAATATGTGGAATTTTTTTCAAGCAAAAAAATAATTACTTACGTAATGCTCGATGTTTGTTCTTGGATATGTGCAAGGATAACATTCTATAAAGGAAATTCCGTTGGCATGTGAAGTACACTCGCAATCAGTACAATCCTTAGGTACTGCCGAATAAGCTAATCTCTTTGCAAAAACAGTTGCAAATTTCTTAGCGTTCTTCTCCAACTCGAGATGTCTGGAACTGAAGATCGACCCTAAGAAGAAAATATTAATCAATTCAGTTACAATAAATGTTAATATACTAGATATCTTTAGGTACATAAATTTCAATTTAATTCGTTATTTTTCTATTTTCTGTCTAATATTTGACGAAAATAAATATAATATGCTGAGAACCAAATGAGTATCGTCACCCGATAAATTATGTTTACATGATAGAATTATAAATATATATATATATTGTTTTATTCCTGTTTTATTTATTATTGAAAATATTTTTATATCACTAAATATTGCGATTTTCATGTACGGTAACTAACCTAATTACCGTCACTGTCTTAATTATCATCATGTCTTGATATTTTTTAAAAAATGAAGAAACTCGGGGAAAAAATATGTAATAGATTATTTTAAATTGATTTTTTTGTATATCTGGAAATGCCGCCATACACCTTCTTTTAATGGCGCGCTTCATTTACGTGGAATAACGACTATTTTAGTTGGAAGTTACATTGACGAGAAACTACACATTTGTAGTAAGGTAAGATATTAGTAATTCAATAATTTTCAACACCGTGAATAAAAAAAATTGTTGGGTTGAAAAATATTGAACTACTAATATAATATATGTATATTAGTGAATAAAAATTACGAGATGTTAACAGTGACAGTTAAAGGACATTAGCTAGATAATGAAAGTCTGTTATAAACGTTTTTTTATGGAACTAATAACAGTAAGCTAGATAGATCATAAATTACAACGCACTGCAAATGTTTATTAGCACAATGTGACAGATTACAGACTAACTTCTGACATTCGTGTATTTCTAGTAAATACTACCCTTTCAGTTTGAAAATGAGAATATCATTTTAAACTTTCCTGCAATTTTGAAATCTACGCGAAATCGATGTATCTGGTTTAATGTAGATTTATAGTGGTCGCATATGCATGTTTTGACAATTTCGACAAGACCTATATATCTCTGTTACTGAATATGATCGGGTTCTTGTTTACTTCTTGCAGGTTGCATAATTTTTCCATTGTAATATATCGATATTAGTCAAGTTGAATTTGAAATATATATTTTTGAATTATTTTAATGTCCTAATAATTAAGCTAGAGTAGAATCGTTATTTACGTTAAATCTTAAAATGGGTTAAATTAAAAATCTACAGCAGCTATTTCAGGCCTATTGACAGCATCGTCTGTGGAGTAACTTAAGCCACCGAAGCATAAGAGTCAACTGTTACTAGAAATTGCTTTGTTGAACACCTTTGTCAATAGATCTTGATTAGGAATTATTGTATCTATGCTTCTGTAATTAATTTTATTAGAAAGTCTGTTTGATTAAACTGCACAACACAATATAAACTGAAACGTTTCATTTAACAGGTAGAGTAGTAATATGTTACATTGCTGTATTTTATTTTATTATATTATATAAATTGGGTAATCATGTCCTCGGTAGGGATAATACAGTAATTTATTTATTGAATTATTTCAGGATAATTTTAGTGATTTAAAGTATACGGTTATATTCATGTCATAGTATATAGTACATTAATATTTGTGTTTTTGACTGAAAATAAAAACTAATTTGTTGTTATGTTAGTAAAATATAATAATATATTGTATGAGACTGTGATAAACGATAGTGATAAACGATTAGTTCACAAAATTAAAAATAAATTATATAAGTAAAACTTAGTATACTTAGATTACAATAATGGCAGTTTTGAGCCATTGGATTAAAACGATATCGATTTTGATTTTCTGGGGAGAGAGTTAATTCACGTGACAGTCTACTAAACGCAGTCCAATTATTTTCGCGTTACTAATTACAATAATAAATATCAAGGTTAATGGAAACTGTTTCGAAATGCCATTACAAGAGTATAGGGTACAGTGTTGGTTAAAGTGGCACAAACATAAATCCATATTTATTTTTCAATGCTTAACCATTAGTATTCAATAAAGTGCAGATCTGTATGTAAAAATATCCAAAAAAACTTGAGACAATAACTATTAACGCCAATAAGTAGTAAAGTTATTGCACCAAGACGTATAACGATGCTGGATGGAATCATCCTGTCGATCAAACATAAATGGCAGAGGGTGTGAAGAGGGCCTTGACTTAACCGCCTTGATCAAGAGGAGACAACCTCACCAAAAACCTAAATCCTATGATGGCGGGACCAGGGTAAAGGAATGCGTGGCTAGATAGAAGAATAGGTTTTATTGGTCTCAACCTTGGGGCATCCTATTGTATTTGTTCCTTACTTCTAAATGCGGGGCTCTGTAGAAGTGGACTAACTCTTAACTCAAAATTGAGACCGGCCTCCACAAGTGGCATACAAGCTACCACCTCCTCTAATAAGGGTCGGGAGCCTACCTCTAGACCGAACAGGCTACACAAGCTACCATTTTCTATATCCGGCCCTATAACCTCTCACTTCTGGAATGGAAGGCCGTCCAATGTGAGGACATCAAGTCTTCAATTCGAGGGAGGAGGGCCATGATCAGGTCCTTACAATACGAATGGACCTCAAATCCAAGAAAACAATGGAGAAAAAGAGATAATATCTTCTATTATAGATTCGGGACAACACCGGTATCTGTTCTAAGGAAACAACCAAGTTAAAGAAGTGGATAAAATTTAGACAGATCCTCCAGCCTCCGGGTACCTCACCACGGGTACCTCAACCGGAGACAAGCTCCTCAACTGTGAAAGGAACGGAGGGCCAAACCCCAACCGTAAAAGAATGTATACCCTCGAAGGAGGTAGATGTCCACTCCTCGGAGGAAGGACATTTGTTGCCAGAGGAAGATGAGAAATACCTTGTCCTCCTATAACAGGAAAATCTCCATGTATTATGAGTTATAGACTGTATGATGGATTATAACTTAAGAAAGAGAGACATAATAAATCTTTAAGGTCGCGGTGATAAACTCCCCTCCCACTCACTCTACTACTAACTATATTAATGTTTTATTAGCTGCTACAAGTGTTTAGGGCAAAGATAATTAGATCTTAGATCGTGCTTTCAAGATAAAGCTTGTTTTAGGAAGCGCAAATAGCTTTACCCTAGTAATAGATTTGGAAGAATTGGAATTTACTATCTTGGCGTGTGACCAGTATAAAACATTACGGTAAGATTAATTTTATTCCAGAAGAGATAAAAATTACCCTGTGAATTATTGGTGAAAAACACATCAATAATGTACCTTTTTGGAGATAAAAAACTTTCCTCGACAATAAATTGTAGATACAAAAAACTGTAAGAGGAGGATACATAAATATCAGAAATCTTATTAAGTTTCTTCTTTTTATTTTGTAAAAAAATGTTATTACTTTTACTGGTTATTATATCGATTTAAAAGTAATTTTGACTTGTAAAGTACTTTAAAAGTTCTTTAAAAAACATTCAAATATTCTACTTTCGTCGAGACACTGTGAAACTTTTATTTTTTTTCTCAAAAAATATAGGACAATTTCGTTTCAATCTAACTTGGCCATTGAAGAAGTATATGAAAGGAAGTTTCTTTGGAGTGGCAGAGAGCAAAAGAATATAAACGCATGTAATCTGGACTGCGTAAAAAATTTAATCAATTTCCTACTTACCGTTTGTTTCTAAGGCCAGTGAAAAACACGCTGATTTCGGGAACCTGATTGAATTTCTTAATACTAGGTCCCCGTCGAGCTTCTTTATATCTTTTTTAGTGTAGGCCTTGTTTGTGTCAACACCTAAATACACATTAAGGAAAATATCTCTTATAATTTTGTCCTGGTAAAAAAATTGAGCTTTAAATAACTTCATGCTTATAACAAAAGAAAAAAATGAAAAATCTCAAAATATCCTTATGGATTAAAAGTTATGTTTATAGCCGCTACCGGTAACTGACTTTCCAGTCGACAAAAAGTTAAAATACTAGAATTAATGTTTATTATTTATTATTAATGTTAAGTTTATGAATCATCGCTATAGTTATATCATCGCTCCAACTTAGTAATTACTACTTAAACTTAATCTTAATATTAGTAATATACAAATAAGGGCAAATATTTTCAGAGCTGTTAGATCTGATGAAAGAAACATATTTTCTTTTTACCGTTTTTTAAATAAGTCTAAAGTATCCGAGTAAGGTACATTCAGGCTGAGAGCGTCGAGCGTCGGGTCCGCGTGTCGAAATGGAATCAATTCACTTAACTTAAATTAGACCGTTCAGGCAGACAGCGTCGCGTTTGGCGTTACGCTAGCGCCCGCTGAGCGTCAGGGTTCGAGTTCAATGGGGCGGACGCGACGCAAACGCGACGCTCTCAGCCTGAATGTACCTTTTTTAGAGAAAAAAAAAAGATTTTTTTGCTTAAATTTTGAGAACCACTGGATCTTTTCTGGGTTTGCTTTCTTGTAAAATTAATCTACTACTATGTTGACGTATTATCTAGAAATTATGTTTTTAGCAAAAATTAAAAAAAATCCAGAATATTTTTCAAAAAAATTCCAAATTTTAAAAATTTGGCATTTTTGCTAAAAAACCTCATAGGCGTGTTTCTGGGTGAAAGGGTGAAATATACTACCCCTAAAAATATTTTCACTTATTTAAGTCTCGCAACACAATTCTTCTACTATAAGAAGTTGTGAGGTCTCATGTAAAACCAAGTCAGTATATTTTATTTAGTTTCTATTTAAGAATCCATTCAACAATTTTGTTATAAATGGTTGGTATCAATATTAGAAATCTATATTTCTGTAATAATTATAATGACCTGGGGGCAATTGCACGATATGGTATTCTACTAATTAAAAAACTTTATTCTTAAGTACACTGTTAAATCATTATACAATAATTATAGAAATAAAGATGTCTAATATTGATACTAACAATTTATAACATTTTTGAATAGGTACTTAAATTGAAATCAAATAAAATAAACTGACTTAGTTCTACATGAAATCTCATCTAAATTTTTTATAGTTAATTTGTAATTATCTCAACTTTTTATAGTGGAAGAATTGTGTTGCGAGACTTGGCATGTTTTTACATTCTATGTTTTTGATGGGATAAATTTTGTCCTGGTAAATTGCACTTTTTTTAACTTTTTCCTTTATCAATTTGAAAACGTTAAACATGTTAAATATTACCCTTCTATATCAAAGTCGAAAAACTTTTCATCAACTGTTCTGTGATATATAGTCGAAGGCAATACATATGTATGTTACGGTTAAAGTCCGATATAACAGGTTAGTGTTTGGGTTTGGTTTTGTTTTTGGTTGTTTTGTTTTGTGTTATTCTCGAGATTAACCAGGTAATGTCAACATTAACTGGATATCGGACCTTAACCGTAACATATACATTCAATAAATGTTTTATCAACTTTAAATGGTATGTTTTCACATCTTTAATTAAACTTACCGAACGGTATCTTGTTTTCTTTTTTTCTTTCCCCTTGAAGGTTAAACGAGTTCTTCATCATGATGTGGAGGGAAACGGCATTTTCAAAGAGCACTTGCTGTATTGTTAGGTGATCGAACTGTAAAATAAAATTTAAATAATATATTAAATAAAAAAAACTAATTTTATGTATTATCGATTTAAAAACTTTTCTTTTTTTTACTGATTTTAAAAAATTTAAATTAAACTTCAATTAATGGTCTGCATTGTGTATTATATGTACGTGTCTGGCCTAAACTTACTATTCCATATATTTTAATATGTCATTGTGAAATCTTTAGAGATTTTTATCGTACGAAAGTTGACGTTTAATATAGTGTGACGTAAATAAATATATAGTTTCTCTACACTACCTCCATATTGTGTTCTTGACATTCGGAACATGGAAATAATACGAAATTTCTGGATGCTCCGGGTCTAAACACCAATTTATTAGCAAACATAATAGCTCTGTATATGTCGGAATTTCCGTTACCTAAAACCCAAAATAAACAGTTTTAACAACGTTTTGAATTACGCAGATTTATAAATTTAATCTAAAACTATGCTAGCCGTACAGTCAAATATTCTGTATCTATTTAAAGACATTTATGACTGCGAAAATAAATATTGCGGCTAATTACATAAGCGAAAGACAGCAAATATTGTACTCTGTGATTAATATGGTATCATTAAATTTACATATTAATATGATTTTTTTTTCAGATTAGCGTAAAATAGACATACATTTTGAAATAGATATTAGGGGTTGAATTAAAAACATCGCTTCTTTTGCTCCTTTGGCTTACCCTCTCTTAGTGATACAATTTCAACAATCCCTTTATAATGGTCACTGTTCCGTTACTTAAGGAGCCTTTGCGCTAGTTTCAACATTATTGTACAAGTTTCAACGAATTGTATTCCGGAAACTTCGGTAGCATATTCTGCAGATAAAAATAGGTAAAAAAGTTCGTATAAATGTATGTCCTAAAATGCTTAGTTTCGGAGATACAGGGTGTGGAAATTTCATTTTTATTTCAATTTTTTCCAAATAATTTCTGAAGTAACGTCAACATTTAGATGCAAATTGGTGTCTGGGAGTTTTTTGACATGAGAAATTTGATTTTAATGTCAATATGACTCCTACTGGTAGAGGGCGCCACCTACATGTGTTTTAACTGTTTTGAAGCATAATAAATTTTTGTCCGTACCTGTATAACACTACCGAGGGAAAAAATATTCTTCTCTGTGATTTTTTACGTAAAAAATATCTCTTTGTAAAAATCGCTACGAGCAACTGTTCTCAAGATATTTAGAATAGAAATAGTCAATACATGCCATTATTGACGAAAATTAAACACGTTGTGTAGATAGTTATTTCACTGAAATAATAAATTTGGAAAATTTTTGTTTTTTTTTAAATTAATCATATTTTTTCTGCAAAAAAAATGATTAAACATTTTTGTTGAACTTTTGGTACAAAAACATTTCAAATTTATGATCTCAGTCTAATAACTATTTAGTCAACATGTTTAATTTATGTCAGTGATGACAGGTATTGATAATTTCAATTCCAAATATCTCGAAAACCATTACTCGTAGCGATTTTTACCAAGAGATCTTTTTTACGTAAAAAGCATCGTAAAGTTTTTTAATCGGTAATTTTATACAGGTACGGACAAAAAGTTATTATTTTTCAAACCAGTTAAAAAATATGTGGGTGGCGCCCTCTACTAGTAGGAGTCATATTGACATCAAAATCAAATTTCTCATGTCAAAAAACTCCTAGACACCAATTTTAATCCAGATATTGACGTTACTGCAGAAATTATTTGGAAAAAATCGAAATAAAAATGAAACTTCTACACCCTGTATCTCCGAAAGTAAGCATTTTTGGACATACATATATACGAACATTTTTACTTATTTTTATCTGCAGAATATGCTGCCGAAGTTTCCGGAATACAGTTCGGACCACCCTGTATATACTTGATTTTCAATTTTTTTATACTAATAATAATTAATTCACTCCTTTAGGGTTAGGTTAGGTTTATGAATTACAAAGAGTCGTTTCTTAGTGCTCTATTACCTACTACCTAAAAAAATTCATACCCCTAGAACAGATTTTAACAAATTTTTACATAAACTTTCATCAAAATCACTTCTTAGTTCTCAGTTTCAAATTCGCTCTTTGTTTTCACTTATGTCAGCCAAGGAACAATTGTGTGAAACTTTGTGCTTCTAAGCCAAGCTGTTTGGGTAGTGCGTTGACACCAAGTCAATCAATATTGAGCATATACAGGGTCAGTCTTAAATAAGTGCAAATATATGCAGGACTTTTATTATTAGTACGGACTTATCAGAGTAGGATTAATTAGGAACAATGTTTAAAATAGCTAAAATTTTTTTTTTCTCGAAATATCTAGTAAGTCATGAACTTTTTCAAAAATCTGAAATGCGCATATTTATGACCCCACAAAACTGCAATTCTTTCCCATGTAATCGACTCTCTATGTCCAGTAGTCTCCGAGATACCCGTAGAGAACATCGTAGGAAACTCACCCTGTATACTGAAACCAGAGAAAACGTAAATAAAATTTCATAATTATACTTGCAAAATATTTTTAATATTACAAGGTAATAGCAAGTTAAATCTCGCCTTTTTGTTGGTCATTGATATGGAATTAGCCGGCCTTAACTTGAAGAGGGTTAAATTTTCGGTAACATTGAATTAAACTCACCAACTGGAATTTTATCAATATAATCTAGAACCGAGTGGGAATCCGTGAAAGTCTCTGAATTTATTATCACACTTCGGGGAGCATTGTAAATGCCATTTCCGCCAAAAACAACAACAGCATATCTAAAAAGGAGTTTTATTATTTTAAATTTAGCAAGTGCTTAGCTTGTATAAATACCTGTTCTTGGTTACGTTCAGCTCAGAAAGTTCGTGGTTTATTGACTCAACCAAAATATTAAAGTTTTTATGATTCTTTAGGTCTTTATTACAATCCTTAGCCTCGACTATAAAAACTATATCTGCCATTCGTGGCACAGCGGAGCCTTGCAATCTTACGAATTCTCCTTCCATAATTTCCGTCCCGTTTAATAAGTTGCATCTAAATTAATTAAAAAGTATGTAGAGAAGTCATCGTTTTTTTATTAGCATAATATGGTCTGTGATCGATCCTAATGTAATAATACAAATAAAAATAGAGTAACAAAAATAAAAGCAATGAAGAAATCAACTTTTAATTTATAATTAAAATTTCTAGTAATCTTATTAATATCATTAGTAAACTACCATCTCTGTTCATATAATTTTTTCAATTTATAAGTAATCAGATAATTTAGATTTCTTATGAAAGTATATTATTTACAAAATCATAATGATAAAAAATAATTGATAGAAATAAGCTTTATTCAAAACCTCGCAATTAGTGGAATAAATTAGTGGTTTCAATTAGCGTAGAAGTTTTGTTCTTCTAATTTCGATGTAAGTAATGTAGTAATTTTTAATTAGTAGAAAAAGGTTAACAAAAAAGGTTTTAACTTTTCCATTAATTATACTTTAAAATTTTTTTTAAAGATTTTTAAAATTTTTTGATTATCATCCGTCAAGAGAAATTGTGGCTAGAAATCAAAAGTTTATTTTTTATAAGCTTAATATTAGGCTTTGTCTATAGATACAACTGCTAGAAACAAGTTGTTGCTAGAATATTCTATAAATTTTGTGTTTTTTTTTATACATTGTGAATGATCGTAAACTAAAAAGTATAAAGTGTAATTCAAACCACTAATTGCGAGGTTCTGAATGAAGCCATACGGTTTTAACTCACCTTATGCAAGAATCTGGTATGTGTAATGGGGTATTCTCTCGACTACATACCTCGATATAACTAACAGCGCTTCTGCAAGCTTCTTTAATGTTTGAACTGTTCATACACATGTCCAAATAGTTGTTTTTAGGTACCCTGGCAAAACAAGTACTCAAATCGGAAATTTTGCTTCTAAACAATTCATTGCACAATTTTTCTATTTCAGGTATCGGTGTTTGTAAGTTCGTTTTAGGCATACTCGCTGTTTTACAATTGTTGTTAACTGACCAACTATCTCCAAATACTGATAAATCGTTTGATATTACTTTACTACGGTTTAAAGTCTGCAAGTCATCATAAGGTTCATTGTTATACGAGCCCCATAAGCCCGCTGTTCTAGCAAAGTGCCAGCCTAAAACAAATTAACCATTACCAATATTCTAAATTTTCATTAATGTATTTGCAACGCAGATTTGCATTGAAAATGTTCTTATTTAATTAAAATTATTTGAATTAACACTAGTTGCAAATATATGACTTTAATTTCAAATATAGTGTGCTGTTTTAATAGAGATGATTAATGTAATTCAAGCATTAATTAAAATCAATTGTTGCGCTTAAAATTGTATTTTGAATTAAAGTAATATGTTATTAATAATGTTTTTTTGGAATGCTACAAATCTGTCTAGTGCTATTAAAATTAAAAAAAACACACAGGATTAGGAATATTCGGTTTTAATTGAGATGTAGCGATTCACTTTTCAATTTTTTGTTTTGCATTTTCATACAGTCCCTTGAGATTTGTCATAACCAAATTCAGTTGCGGCTAAAAAGCATTCAGCTGGATCGCACTACAAATAAAAAAAAAAACTTTTTGCTTTAAATCACTGTTTTCCCTTACGCACATCATATATGAAATTATCGTCGTTAAAAAGTTATTTTGTGAATTTTTTGTAACGACATGTTTTTGAGGGTCAAATTACCCTTCCCGTAATTTTTTTGCCTAGCTAAGTGGTTAGTCATTACGTTGATAAAACAGTAAAATGTACACTTAATAGCCAATTAATTTTTCCTTGCGTATAAAGGTACAACACAAAAAGTTACCGGCAACGATTTCTTTTTCTGTCTGGTAAATACCTCTCATTTATATCTTGTCACGTTTAAAGCATTGTAAAAACTTAATAAAACGCCAGAAAAATAAATAGGCAGCTACTTCTCTTTCAAGTACTCACCGGATATGTCAAAGACACATATTTGTAGTCTCATATTGCACTTTAATGCAAATCCTGTATTTTCTAATGTCACTATATCAGCTTCTCTGTAAATATAGTTGCCGGCAATTTCAACAGGTAATTTTGTAGATGCGGTGTTAACCGAAAGAATTAAAATGGTCTGAAATAAAGATTAAAAAAAAAATTAGTGATTGTTTTTAACACTTTCACCAATAGAAAAAAAATGTATTAAGAAAAATATTCAGGCTATTTTCTCATTGCAGCTTAAGAATATTTTCCTTTTTTGTTAATAATGTTAAAATTAATTAGATTATTATGTATATATGTTTTATCATAAATGGAAAATAACCATTTGCTCAGAAAAAAAAAACTTAAAAGTATGTATTTAATACGTAAAAAAATCTGATTTCTGATAATCTTGTATTACCCTATCGGCAAGTGAAGTCTTGGGTAGTTGTGTATACCGGGTGCGTCTCAAAAGTGTCTCACCCCTATAACTTTTTTATTTTTTTAGATAAAAGAACGAGATTTGGTATGTTAGTATATGACATAAGTTTTGATTGATTGACATATTCAATTGTTTTCGGTCACTTCCTGTTTCACCGGAAATAACTATAACTTTTGATTTTTAAATGGCACCTTCGTTATTTTTTTACTTTATTTGATATCATAGCGAATATGTCAACTTTTGACATATTCGCTCAAAAACATATTGTATTTTAAATTTCAATTTAGAGTGCCATGGCTGTGTTAAAAACACGAATTTTTAATCAACGAGCCTTGGAAAAATAGATTTGATCGTCTAATGTTTTTAGTTTTGATCGTCTAATGTTTTTATAGTGTCTTGTCCCGGCCGGTTAAAAGATGGCCAAATCGTATTTTTAATCATATCTCAATTTTTTCAAATGGAACGAGGGTGGTTCATTAGCATATTTGGAAAAAGCATTTTTTTACGAATAATTTGATACTACACACTTGGTATTTCGAGTCAAATTGTCGTTATGAACCGCATATTACAATTTCAAATAAACCATATGCGAAAATGTCAAAAGTTGACATATGATGTCATTCTATTCAGAGTGACATTTTCTATCGAATAAAGTAAAAAAATACCGAAGGTGCCATTTAAAAATCAAAAGTTGTAGTGACCGAAAACAATTGAATATATCAATCAATCCTAATTTATGTCATATACTAACATACTAAATCTCGTTGTTTCACTTAAAAAAATAAAAAAGCCATAGGGTGAGCCACTTTTGAGACGCACCCGGTATATCTAGGTTCTGGGTTCCAACCTAAAACTGTTATGAGTACTAAATTATTTAGTTTATTATACAAGTAAATTGACGCATTTTATTTGTCTTAAAACATCGGTACAAAACATTCTCGTTAAAAGAATGACGTAAATCTTCGGTTGAATTTCATGAGAATCTGCGAGAATAAAAATGTAATGACATTTTATTGGCTGTTTAGAGGTATTTCGTTGTGGCATTATTAAACGCTGAACAATAGGTCGGTAAGCAACGGTCAATAGCCCTCTATTGCCGCTATAGTATTGTTATACTATTAATTCTCACACGTCCATACTTCACTTTTGGCGAGAACAAAAAGGCAGTCGACATACTGAAAATTGAATAATTTGTTATTGATTCTGTGTCAGTAGGATGATTAACCGTTCCATATACAGGCTGTCCCAATATTAATTGGACATGGAACTACTACGTATTTTTGTAATCAAAATAAGTTCATTGGGATACAATTGGCCTCTACATAAAAGTGCTTCGTTTGTTCGTTGTCTTAAAAAATAAGAACCGTTATTCAGATTTATATGAGAGGTTTGGGGTACCTGTGTTTTGCTAAGTGCTTGAATATTTGATCTCCACAAAAATCAAGAAATAGTAGGGGAAGGGTAAAAACTACCCCGGTCTTTTTTCACGAAATGGTCCTTCTAGTACTTGCTACATTTTTGTCTGTTTTTGACGCCACCGTGCATACTTTTTTAGGAAAAAACATTTTTACTAATCTGACTTCCAAAAAATATTTCTTACCACATCAAGCTATGCAGGTGGACAAAATCTATTATGCGTTAATAATCTAGATGGCGAGAATATGGAATTTTGTGTTCGTATCACAAATGATATTTGGCAGTAAGCTTCATAAATTTTAGATTAATGAATGTTAGGGTTTATTTTTGATTGATGCCCTCTAACAAACAAACAAAGCACTTTTTTATAGAGAATATTGGAACTCCCTGTGTATTTTGTAAGTCTGCTTTAGAAAAAAAATATTTTTTTTCTACTAATGTATATAGTAACTACTAGGACCATTTTACGAAAAAAAAAACAGCCGGTGGAGTTGGAAAATCTTTTACTATCTCATTCATATCGGAATAGCAGTTCGTAAAATATGTAAAAATGTATTTTTTTAAGTCTGATGCCCTCTACCTGACTAAGGAAGCACTTTTGTAAAGAGGTTAATTGTGGCCAATGAACTTATTTTGATTCCAAAAATACGCAGCAGTTTTATGTTTTATGTGCAGAATACACCCTGTATTTTACCTCTTCTTTACTTCAGAGATAAATGCTTTTTTTTATTTACATAAAATTAATATGAACCTTCATCATCTTGATATGCGATTTTTAATAACTGGTACTTACGTCTTTTAAGAGATTTAAGTGAACCGATATTTTATTTATGAAAACGACCAGCTCATTTGGATCGCCTGTTTTGTCGTAAGACACAACTAGCGTGAAATTGCGGTCGATAAAATCGGTGGCCAACAGATAGGTGCAGCTCCCCCTAAATTCGTAATGTTTTTTGTCAAATGTCGCGTAATACTTTCCACCCATCAGCATGGCATAACCTGAAAGAGCATAAAATATTAAACATGGCTGTAGCCTTAACGCGACAATCAAAAGCGTCGTCACCTTTAAATGGCGGCAACCATTCTGTAGGATCGGTGTAAGGCTTATAGTCGTAATAAAAACTCCAAAATGATGCCTCTGATGTTGACAAATACTTGTAAACATCGTAAAATAGTTTAATTTCGGGTATTTCCTACAACAAAAATAAACACTTTAATGTTGTTACATTTTTTTGGTTTCACTGAATATCTTTTATCTATACAGAGGAAAATGAAAGTGATAAATAGGTGAAATACTTCAGCTATTATATTATGTGAATATTAGGGTGTACAAAAAAAATATATATGTATATATATTTTTTAATTACAATGAAAATATTCGTTCGAAATGATAAAAAAAAATTCTGGTAAAGTTTGAGATCTTACTATTAATATTAAGAGGGGTCTCATCGTGATTTTCTGTTTCGCATTTAAATAGCATGGGGAAATTATTTTATATTTTTGCTTTAATTTATTTTATAAATAAAATAAAAAATAGACTTTGTTATTTCTTGTTAGGTTTCAAATTCGAAAAGAAACCTAAAATTATCTAAAAACAACAGCTCGTTTAAATACCGAAAATACCTTTTTGCTATTTCTGTCTTTATCTTCCACTTCATGTTTAAGTGATCTTCGCGAAATGTTTTTTTTGTTTTTTTAACAATTATCTTTTCTCAGTGCGGTTATTTAGGCACTCAGCCTTTTCGAAATCGAATACCTCGTTTTCTTTTCTCACGCAAAAGTTTTTATAAATTAAAAAGGAACACTTCCGCCATAGCCACGCTTTTATCATGTATTTAGCTTTTAGTCGAATAATATAATAAAATAGAATTTGGTTGGTTGACGTGAATTTTTAAAGGCGAACGGCTGAATGGAACAGATCCTCTTTCCAAGTAAAAGGTTACATTTCTAAATTAAATTCTCTGCATAATCTGATTTGTAGTGTCAAATGAAAGAAATACGATCATTTCTTTCTTTAAAGGCCGAGAACTTTCTGATTTAAATATAATCTTTATGAGGTTTCATTATCGTTATATGATCATTATCGTTATATGACTAAAGAGTTTTTTTAATAAATACACTCACCGGCACGAAAAACGGGCACCTTACAATTTTTATGTAATTTAAAGTTTAATGTATTTGGTTCTACTGGGCCGATTTTGATGATGTTTAAGCAATTTGTAGCTAAATTATTTGACTTTTTAGTATCTCATTAGAAATTAAAAAGTAAAGTTCTCATCTGTCAATTATACACGGCAAAACAAAATGTTGATATTTTGATGAAAGTTTGAAACGCCCTGTGAAGTATGTTAACAAAGCAAGGAAAATAATTAAAAGTCAAATAATCTAGCTACAAATTATTTAAAAACTAATCATAATCGGTCCAATAGAACACAGTATATAAAACATTAAAATACATCAAAATTTTAAGGTGCCCGTTCTTCGGGTCGGTGAGCGTTGTTTCAAAAAATAGAAATCGTGTATCATAAACAGACGCATTGCGAAAAATTATTATAGTGTTGGGTTCATACTCTATAGATTACACTTCACTGGCTGTATATCACAAAGAGCATGCTAACTTGTTGTAATATTAGATGTTTAGTTTTGTTCGCTACTAGATCTGTGTCTACAAAAGGAATTTCAAGAATGCAGACACACAATATTGGAGTGTGATTAATTTAGTACACAATATACTTAAATAAACAGGAATATATTTTATAGCTCGCAGCAGAGAGTCCACATGGACTTCACTGCAAAACACACGCCGCCCACTCATCACATTGGTCACTTGCAATTTTATCGAATTTTTATTGGCAGGACGAAACGCCAATTTTTTTTACGAGAACGGTAGTAGACCGAGCTTGGAAAATAGTGCAGTCGTTATTAGATAGTAAGATAGTTGCGTGGTTTTATTAATCTTTTATTGTTTTTCTTCTTAATTTTTCAATTTTTAAAAGGATTATGTCTTATTTACGTGGAAAAAAATGTTGAAGAAAATAAAACTGCGGTGCGATTCTGCAAGCTGTATAAAGAAATTTCTTGCTAGTGACTCTTACTCGGTTTTCTTCGCGAAAATATTTAGTCCATCACTATATCACTAGACAGCATCTCGTGCCGCGGTATTTGTAAAGTGCGCATGTGCAAAACCCCAAAAATATACTTGGTCGGGTATTTCGCGTGCAATCTAAACAAAAAAATTAACCCCAGAGATTAACTAACGCAATCAAAACACGCCTACGGCTGACTGATTTTACCTAGACCAACGTTTGCAAACATAAAAAAAAATCTAGATAGGTACATCTCGATTCGGAAGCAACCGCCTTACCAATGGAGCCACAGCTGCTTTTGTAACTAGGCATTACTTCGTTCCGCCGTTCCACCAAGACAAAGACGCAAATACCGCTGCACAAGATGCTGTCTACACGCCTTAATGTTTATTTGTTTTGACATTGAAATTCTTGGTTTTTGTCTGAATCATAGTCATATATTTATAAATAAAATTTAGAACGTAGGAACGGTGACAAAATATCGATATATTTCATATAATTCATCAAACTACTCATCGATGTTTTGCATAGAAGAATACCGTATGATCCACAAAAACGTCGTCTAGTTATTTGGGAATTACGGGATCGATGACATTACTTATATAATTTTACATATAAAATAAAGAGTGATCTTTATTTCAACGCAACAATTTTTTTTCGATCATATTGTATGTATATGCTTGTTGATAAATAAATAAATACCTGGAAAAGACGGTGTCAAGTTCCTTAAAATTAATGATGAATAATATTTTATACGTAAACTTATATTATGAATCTTATTGGTCATTCCCAAGGTAATGTGCGCTCTTTTTAATTTTCAAAAAGTTTCCAAAATAATTCCAAATTTTCAAAAAAAAATCGCGAAAAAAATCTCAGACATATTTCTGGAGTCGACATAATATATTATCTCTAAAAATATTTGCACTTATTTAAGATTCACCCTATATGCCTAAAAATATCATAAGCCTAGTGAGTCACTAGCAAGTAATTTCTGACTACGAGCTTACAGAATCGCACCGCTGATTTGATATTTTTGAATTTTTTTAATAAGTAAGAAATGTTATTTAAAATATTTATAGCACGTCAATGAATTGCTCGCTAAAGGAGAATTTTGTTTCTCCCCTTACGGGGATGCCCCGTAGGTACAAAACGATTCGAGGTACTGTATGCATAGAAACCTAGAGTCTCTAACGCAACCTTAATTAAATCAGGAAATTCTGATATAGGACAAACATACCTGAAATAAAGGTGTTTCATTAAATGCATGCCATGACATCGGAAGCTTTTGTTCCATCAACATAATGCCTTCGTTCGGGTCATAGATAAATTTAGTTTTAGCTTCCCTTTGCCTAAAATATATATTTGTTATTTATGGATAGTAAATAAAACGAAGTAATTAAATATTCACCTGTTCTCCATTTCCAAAGCGGTTACGCTTATCTCAGCTAATTTTCGGTACACAAACCTAATGAATCGATGTACCCGAAACTCAACTTCAAAGTATTTGTAATAATATTTAACGGTGCTTAATGTTTCATAGTATTTGTCGATAACATATTTAATGGAAGGCACCTCGGCAAGTTGTTTGAACTCGGCCCAAATCTCCAACACAATTGCCTTCAGTTCCTTGCCGAAAGGCACATGATTAATGTATTTTTCATTTAAAAAATTCCAAGCTATATTGCTGTATTTATAAATCGCTTCTATGGTATTATTTCCAGTAATATCCCTGTAGAATTTATCTACATCGCGGGAAAATTTTGAAAACTCCATGAAATACGCGGATTCAATTATTTTATTCTTGCGAATGTAGAGAAAATCTAAAAAGTCTTTTCCCGTTGTCCAAACAATTGTTTCAACGTAATGAACAAATTTTAAAAATGTAGGTTCTAAAGCTGCTAGTGTTTGGTACCAGTTTTCCACTACCATATTATATGTTTCTGACCACAATTTCTCCATGTATTGTAGCACGGTTACGTGCATATTCTTTATAAAGTCATCGTATTTATTAACAACTTTTTCTAAAATGCTCGTCAAATGTTTTACAGGATCCCCATTTATCAGGTCATGTATAAATTGCGTAGTATTGGCATAGTACAGCTTAATCTGCAAATAGTTACAGCTTGTGACAAAGTTGACACGAATGGATCAAGTTAAATTTATCTTACCTTTTCAATTACAAAGGTAATACTTTCTTTGATATTCTTGCCTGAAGCGCCCATTATAGTAGACAATTCTTGAATTATTTTTGGCAAAGACTGAAGGTGAGACTTTAAAGACAGTTCATCAAATAATTTGATGACAACGGTGAATATGTCTTTTATATAAAATTCATTGTTGTGGTATGATGTGTTGAAAAACTGTTTTAAATAGTCGAAATCTTCTTCGATCACTGTTAAGTTCCTGAAAGGGCACAAAATAATAAAAAAGTTTTTATACCAGCACCAATTCCAGTGGCAATGAATAAGTACCTATTTAACATTATATGGTTTATAGGTATATTAATTGAAATAAAAGAAAGTAAAATAATACTTTCTATGTATAAAATTTGGGTTTTAAAATGTTTTTAAAAGTACAGTACATATATTTCCAATAAAATAAAAAAAAGATAGAAATCGTTTTTAGGACTGTTCTGTAACAGATATCGAACAGCCTCAGATAAATTTAATTTGAATTTTTATTCAGCTTAATTACCTTAAATCGATTAAATACTGCTTCACAATGGGTTTAGCGTCATGCCAAATTTCATCAATTGATTCAACAAATTGTGCTCTGATGAATTGCCTCGTATTATTTACTTCTTCTAAAGTCTCGTAATATAATTCTAAAGCTTTAGCTCTCACTCGACTCTACAAAATAAAAATATCATTTGAACCGCATTCTTTTTTAAGAGCGGAATTAATGCAAAAAAAAATCTGAATATTTTTTTTTATTTTATGTGTCTAATTCTTTTATATAAAATAAATTACTGTATTTACTCAGTACTTATTCAATAGATAACATTTCCCAAAACAAAATTTTATTAACAATTTGTTTTGCAAGTTTAAAATTAGCAGAATATATTCGTATTTTGGATATGTAAATTCATTTGCATTAAGGCAATATAGAGTTGTAATGAAATTAGTAAACATGTAACCAGAAATCTAAGACGCATTAGAACATGCACCAAATAGTTCAAAATGTTCTCGATTACTTGCAAGCCACTTCCGGGAAACCCGACACGTTAAAAATATCTTGTATAATATTTGATTACAGTACAGAAAGCGAATGGAAACTAATTAAAAACTTCAATACTAGGAAATTAGACAAATTAAAATAATTTTTTTAATTCAGTACTTATATATAAGTTTTAAAATAAAATTAAAAATAAAAAAAGATAAAGTAAAATTTCTACTTTCTAGGGAGTTAGGGGTCCAAATATATAAAACTTCTTTTAAAAAACAAATATTAGAACTGTTTAGAAATCATCATTATAAGATAATTACAGTAACTTACGAACGTATGAAGATCTACATCTTAACTATAACTGGATATAAGGTTTATAATAATTTGTGCTTATATTTTTCGCCATTTGCTTTTATTAGCACAAATATTTAAACTCAAGCAAACTTGATAAGTTCAAGCAGAAGATTATAAAAGTTAATCATTTACGAAAGTTCAATATACTACTCCATTCGCAGACAGATGTACAAAGCACTATTGTCTCCAGACTTATTGTTTCCCTTCCTTTATTTTAGTTAGTTTTAAATGTCGAAAACCTTTATTCCAACGGAAAATCCTTTCGTAACATGGCTGACAACACAAGTAAAAAAAACGTACGCCGGAAATCCACAAATCCAATCGCTTTAGATTCTAGAAACTTAAGGCAAAAACCAACCTGGATATCGCTTATCAGTTCAGGCCGCCATCTTAGTTTGGACATTATTAATCTTGAATGATTGAGTTTTAGATAATAAGATAGGTCAGTTAATCTCTTGTCTTCATAATCTCGCCAAATATCAAATCTTACACTACGAGCATTAGGGATTACGCCAAACGAATGTAAGCTCTGAGTTCCATCTGAAATATAAATAATTAAACCTTATTTTTCGTTTTTGAGACAAATTAAATCTTAAAAGATACAAGTTTATTGTTTTTTGAATTATTTTACCATTCATGGTTAGAAAATTTAAGAATTTGACATAACTTTATACATATATTCAAATTTGAAATGTGATTAAATTACAATTAAAATTAATAAATCTTATTATATCATTTCTGTTAATAGCCTTGCTCTAAATGAGGAAATGTAATATAATTACGCCGTCACTTTATTATAAATTTAGAGGCTTAAAGAAATGTCACAGACACAGGGAAGAAAGATTGGCCTGAAAACCCTCACATTTTTTACAAGGTCAATATTTTTAGCAGGTAATTTACACTCAGTTTTACTATGTGAGAAAACAAGTCAAATCGTTGCACAAACTTTCATTTGATTGCTTTTCTATCTAACAAATGGATTCGTTATACAGTTTAGTTATAGTAGGTTAGGTATAGTAAAAGATTTAATTTATGGTAAATTTTAGTTAATATAACTTATGTAATTGCACATTTTTGTTATACATAGTGATTCTGATGTGCGACTCACTTTTGTTTAACATAAAATACTTAACAACTGAATGTTAAATATTTGTAAAATAATTCTTATCAGAAGAATAAACCCGTTTTTTAAAAGCCGATATTTTAAATCAGGTCATAATTTATGAGGATACGGTTAACGTTTTTTTTTTGTTAAAATAACAAGAAACGTCCCATAGTCATAAATTATAAACTGATTTAAAATATTGATGACACTTTTAAAACCGTAATTAAGAAATGGTAGGCCTATAATATAATATAAATTAATTTGTCCGTGATAAGGCATTGATGCAGTACGCTGTCACAATACATACAATTAAACTCTCTACCGATTCGCCAAATTGATTGATTTTCCTTATTGGTTCCTCTCTTGTTTGAGGTTTTGGTCTGTTTTCAAATACTAAACGCTTGTATTCACACTATGGATTAATCAATAGACATTAGACCTCGTGAAAATCGAGAACTAAATAATTTCGACTCCATATCTATAATTAATCCATTAATTCAAGTTCTGTCTGATTACGGCATGTATTTTTATAGAGCTTAGTATGCGTTATCCGCATATTTGATAAGGATACCAAAAAAATACATTTTTATATTAATTTTGTGTAGGATTTATTAAAGAAAAGCAGAAAGCTGGAAAACTGATTTCTGGGCTACAGCCCAAAACATCAAAGCTGTTTATGATTTTATTTCGGAAAATGAACGGAATTAGTTTAAGATGAATATCGGAGATTTTTATATAATATTTTTTTATGTGAGGATATTCGATATTAAATCTGTAAATATCAGGGTTTTCTTTATAGAAATAAAATATTCACAAGACTGATTCTCTTTTTATTATTCTTATTACTGTTAATATTATCTGGGGGTAGGGCAGTTTAGTTTGGTTTTCCAAGTCGAGCACAGCTGTACCATGCTTCTTAAAGGTATAGCGGCACTTATAACCATGCACCCTGTACCTTCGTTGTGAATAGCAAAAATATTAATTTTTACTAAACATGGGTAGATTGCCAAAATATCTAGTAATTATACCTCACACTTTATGAATTATTGCTTATCAAATTTCTTTAATTTCGACATTGACTCACAAACAGATCATCAAAATTCCAAGGTACTTCTAGATTTGTCACAAACTTCAAATTTTGAATTTTAGGTAGCTTTATGCTTATAACGAAAGGAAAACCTTAAAAATCTTGAAATATTACCATTATATTAAGATTACTTAAAAAATGACGTAAATGTATTTTTTTTCAAAAAGTTATTATTCTTCAAAACATTTAAAAAAGAAGGACCCTCCTAGAAGTAGGGGACATATTCACACCAAAATAAAATTTCTCATGTCAAAAAATACCCAGACGCATTGGTGTCTGGGTATGTATCATGGTCTCATGAAAATTGTTCATCCAGATATCGACGACGTTAGTTCAGATATTATTTGGAAAAAATAAAAATAAAAATGACACTTCTACACCCTGTATCCAAAACGAAGCATTTTAGGATACGAACTATTTACTTATTTTTATTTGCAGAGTATATTGTCGAAATTAACCGAATACAACTCGGACCACCCTGTATAATATATAGCGCACTACTTAACGTAAGTGTGAAGACAATGAACCAAAAATATTAGGGTTTAGCATACCTTCTGTCAAATTAACGTTTAGATACAGCAATTTGTCTTCGAAGTTTACATAAAATTTTCCTGACGTGTGATTTATTCCATGAGATGTTGTCATGTTGGCAGTGTAGATAGGAAAACTACCCCCATATTTACCACAAAAATATGATTTTCCTAAAATAGTATCTTTCTAAAAAAGAAACAAAATGTTTTAGTTTAAAATATACATTTAAAACAATGACGATGGATGTATAGTTATATCAATTTACTTTGGAATGTTATATATCCATGTAAAATATTTTATAAATGTTTTCTAATTTCAAAAATATCGTATGGACTTTTCTTTCGCTGCAGTTTTTACTTGTACAAATTCTATTCTTTACAATACAAAGTTTATATTCAAAAATGATATACTACTGCAGAACTCAGCATTTTGTTAAAAGTTTAGATTAGTTCTTAGCGGTGGTAGGCTAACTTTTTAGTTTTGAATATTGGTACTATTCGTTTCCCAACAATTTTAGAGTAAACTTTATTTACTTTACTTATTTTCAAAAATAAACAAAATATATTGTGATTTCCAAAATTAGACATGTGAACCCCGTGCTACTAATAAACACAAACAGATTTTAAAAACCTTTATAAGAGAACTAAATATACAATAAAATTGTAAAAGAAATTATGATAATTTGATTCCCTTAATCTTTAGATATAAATCGCCTATCTGGAAGTTAAGAGCAATTATTTTATTTATTAAGCTGTCCTAGAAATGTAGCTATCAAACTGTTAAAAATATCAGCGACGGCGTTAAAACAGAACAAATTTGTAAAGAAAAAAAACTTTTTGTCGTTTCACGGTTAATGCAGGAAATTAATAATTAGTTTTTCGTGATTCAGCGCTAGTTGAAGATTTTTGATCAGACCGCTATTAACCTGTCGGAAGTTTGTATTTTTTCTAAACATGCAAGGTCTCTAAGAATCTGAAACATGTGTAAGCCATATAGAGTTTTACTGGTGGAAGTTATAGTCTTGAGTAGCCTGCACATACACAATTAATTATTTCTGAAGTTCAAAAATTGTTTTGAAAAAATATACCTTCTAGCTTTTGATTTCATGTCCTTTAGGCATTAACTAAAGGAAATATTATTTTAAAAAAAATTCTTAAAATTTTCTTCTTAGGCGTTAAAAAAATTTGAGGGGAAAATAAAACTTACTTCCAATACGGCCTCGTTGTTCAGAAGGTCAACTTTTGCAAAAGTCATAAACCTAGTCATCGATAAATACGACCTTTTATAATCTGCAACGTGCGCCATACCATATTTTACTGGGCTCCAGTCTACATAGCCGAACCAATTGAGATATAAATTTGTTGCATTTTGCTCAGCCGAAATATTGTAAGTGTAATTGTAAGTCTGTCGTTCTGATTTATCCGTCGCTTCTAATCTTAAAGTCACTGTCCTGTCCGGATTTGTAGAATAATCAATAATTAATTCTCCATCCACTGATGAATTCCCATAGCCATATATTGTTAAAAGTGAAACGTCCTAAAACAAACATATTATGACAGAATAATTCATGGTTGTATCTTATGAGTAGATTTGTGGGGAAACCAAGCGTAGATATAATTTTAATGATTGTGTCTAGTATAGAGTATTTTTATATAAACGGGATTTGGGTTTTAGTATATACTACGTATTTCCAACTAAAGCCTACTGCTGTCTTCCCGTTACTCTACGCCACATGTCTCGTTTAGAGCGTCATCAGCTTCTCGATTATACAAGCTTACATTTCTTCCTTAACCGTTCCCTTACAGGATTTTCTAGGTCTACCTCTTTTTCTTCTGCCCTGGGGAGGCCATTAAATTTATTTTGTTGGCCATCTGTTCTCCGGCATATGCAGAACATGTCCAAACCACTTTAAGCTGAATTTTTCAATTCGATATAGTACTGTTTTTTTCCGATGCATTCATGATACGCCTGACTGCGATGTTTGTCTTTTTTCCATCCTAGATATACCTGCGCTTCTTCTGAGCTAGTCTATTTCAACAACTTGTTTTTTTGCAGTTCGCGTTTGCACTCAGATCCCATAGCTCTGAGCCATAGCAAAGAACTGACTCCATCAATGTTCATCCAAGTCTTTTTTTAGTTCTTGCAGATAAGTTTTGGTCCCACCAGAGGCTATTAAGACATGCAGTAACTGTTTGTTTTTATGAATTCGGGTTTGTATTTCTTCTCAAACTCTCGTTGATCGTAGCACCCAGGTATTTAAATTTGTCTACTTGTATCTGGACATTGTCATTAATGAAGATTTCAAAACAAGCGTTGGAATTAAGTATTCCGCCTCTATTAGATTAACTTGAAGTCCCCATTTGTTATATTCTTGATAAAACCTCTTAATCATGAACTTCAGATATGAGTGCTGCGCAAACACGACCTGATTGTTTGCAAAGCTCAGAGTAAATAGTGTATCATCCCTAATGGTTATTCCTATACTTTGACAACTCTTCCATTCCGTAAGAGCTACTTCAATGTAAGCATTGAAGATTAGAGGAGATAAGCTGCTAGTATGCAGAATGAGAAAGAAATGGTCGGGTAAAAAATAAAAATAGACTTACCTTTTCAAAAGACGGATGCTTAAGAAGAAGCTCTAGTTGATCTCTATGTATTCCAATTCGCCTCCAATCCAAAGCTGCTTCCACCGATTTACTGTCATTGCCCCATATAAGTTGAACATCTGTTTCAACGATTGAGTCACTGACGTTGTAGGAACCTTGCATGGTAAAGTTTCGACGAGGATATGATATATTGAGGAGAGCCATTTGTGAGTCAAAAATGTCATTCTAAAAATTAGTATACTGAGTACTCGTTTTTTTTATTATTCTTACCGACTTACCGTAGTTCTATTAAAAACACTTAGGTCGTATGCAATCCATATTTTAGGGCTCAATTCTAATCGAGAATGATGCCTGTATTCACGAGGTAACGTGGCATAGCTACTCGAAAATATCACAGTACGGTTCAGATGAGTGGCGCTCAAAGTATATGCTTGACCTTCAGAATTAGTCTTGATATTTAATTCGCCAGTTACGTTGAACTTTGACTGGTTTTGTAGATGATACAAATGTAGATATTTATTATCCTATCAAATAAATTACTGTAAGTGACAGTTTTTTTATTATAGAAATTAGAAATATATTTAATGTTGACAAACAAGTGTCACCTTTGGAGTAGCACTGTCTTCAGTCAATCTTCAATATTATTCAAAATTGACGTCATAAGTAATTATATACCAATATCGCTAATGCTAACAAAGATACTGTAGCATACCTAAAACAGCATAGAACATATACCACTAATAATACTAGTCAAAAATTTTTAAACTATTTTGTGTAGGAATCTATTTAAAAGGAGAAGATTAATGATAACGCTTACTAAACTAAAAAAAAGCTTTCATTAAATAGTAGAAAGAGATAAAAGTTTCTATACCATTTGTCACCATAAACTAATTAAAATATACAATCATCAGTTTCGTTACATGTAAAATAAAAAATAATTTATGCCTTGCGTAGAGAAGACGAAAGTAGATACGCAAACGATAGACACGCAAACTATGTAAAATTTAAAGTAAAATCTCTAGCGACAGACTTTAATAAAAAAATAATATTTGTACAATCTAGAAAACGTCTAATTCTAATTAAATCTGTTATAGTAAGGTGAGTTACTGATAAGCTCATTTGTTTTCCTTTTCATTTAAATTCATTCCAACGAGTAGAATTTAACAAAGTTTCGGAGCCACTGAAATGGTTTTTGGGCGCTAACATTTTAATAATAAAATCATATTAAAACTTTTCCTCACTGTAAATGAGAAAACATTAAATTTGTATTATTTTAGCTTCGGTATTCGCTATTTTAGAGAACTCGATTAGCGCTTTATGTGTGAAAGTAAACTTGCAATACTAAAACAATACCATCATTTATAATTTAATGTTGTATTAAACCTATTTCAATCCTTGAAAAGTAATAATGTCATAGTACAGGCGAGTAATTTTTTAGTATTATACCAAACAACATGCAGATTAATGTCAGAATTTAGTATTAAGTAATAGTAACAAAGGCTTGGGTAGTTTCGATTGACATATCCGAAGTAAAGATTCGAAAACGATTGTTTGAAAACTAATAACTACTTTTTAGATCAAGTCTGAAAAAATATTAAACTATATTCCACTTCGCTGATAATAAAATATCTGAAATGGGGATGACATAGAAAAATTATATTTGAACAAAACATAAATTACAACTGGTCAAAAAGAACTAACTCGAACTAATGTACTCTGATAGTTTCCAGTTTTCAGCTTTCGCTAAAAGTTCACATTGTTTCTATGAAAATAAATATTTCACAAAGTTTTTAGTTGAAATGCGCGAAAAGCTCTGTAATGTAACATGAGATGTTTTATATTTCCCCTTTTAATATACCGAACGAACGAAATAAGTTTTAATTGCAGTGTATTGCGGAAATTAGTTATTAGTATTTCAATTTGGTATTGGTCTTTTAGCACAGTGTCTCCGATTATGATTATTATTAGTCTTTGCAACAAAGTATAGATATTATATTATTACCAGATCAGATTATTTCCTTTAGTTGAAAAAAAATCTACACGGTCTTTAATAAAATTAGAACCATATATCTCACCCGCGTAATTTCAAGGTGCTTCTTAATCTAGTATGCTGTATATTCGTTACTAAATTAAACTAACAGAATCTCGAATAAATCACATGCATGTTTAATATTCAAATGTATTGTACATATCATAGTTCAAACTCGGGAGCCATAGAAGGCATCTAATCCCCTTATTGAAGTTCTCAATTTACCGAAACATAACTGTTTAGTTTCGCTTGTAAATGATTACAAAGTGCACCGACAAATACCTGTATTTACAGCGTTTCTTTGAAAATTTTAATTCAGATTCATAACATAGAAATTTCCACATGTCTAATATATTTTAGAGGGAATAAAGTAACTAACTTCGTAAAATAGATCTAAGTTTTGAACGGGGTAAAAAGACGACATTGCAGTGTAATTTAATCTGTAAGGAAAATTTAATATCAAAACGTTCTATTTTCACAAACAATTATTAGAAATAGCTTTAGAGAACTCAGGAGAGGTGTAGAAGAGTTCCTGCACCCGAATTGCACCTAAAGAACGTACATTAAGGGAATGGACTGTAAGAAGTAGATTAAACGAAGGAAATCTTATGTCAAAAAGGGACCACAACTTATTAGGTCTGTTGACTAGGACCAAAAGCAAAGGTTCATTCATGGTTTAAATGTAAAAATTACGAAAAAATGTTAGTGTCTTCTTCAAAAGCGAATATCTCCAACAAAAACAAAGCTACTGAGATGAACCAAAAAAACACACTATCGAGAAAAGATGTATCTAGATGATAAAATTATTTTTTAATTCCTTGCTGTCTTAACATATTTCAATGGGCGTTTCAAACTTTCAACAAAATATCAACATTTTGTTTTCCCTCGTATAATTGACAAATGCAAAACTTTCGTTTTGAATTTAGAATGTGATATTAAAAAAGTCAAATAATTTTGGATAAATGGCATAAATTCGCCTACTAGAACAAAATATATTAAACTTTAAAACACATCAAAATGTAGATTACAATGCTTTGTTGTTTGTTAAAACTAGAATACAAAGATTATACGTATTCGTCCAATCTAGAAATCGCTTAACTGTAATTAAATCTATTACAGTAAGGTGCGTTATCTTAGTAGATAGTTGAGATAGCTTAGTAGACTTTTCTAATAAATAATAATTTTAATTTAAAGTTTTCTGTTTCGGTTGCGAAATACCCAGTTGTTGCCAGTAAGCGTTATATTTTTCCGCTGTATTTATTTAAAATACATAGAAACAAAATAAATAGCAAAATATGTATTGAATATAAATTCATAATTAAAGCTCGTATTACAGGCAAAGGAAACACCCTCAAATATGCACATATAGATGCACATTTTTTCTAAAAATAGGCAGTCAAGTTGGAATATATATGCAAATATTGCAAACTCAATACAGCGGTTTTTAATAATAAAAACAAAACGTAATTCAAAAATTATATTAATTAAAAAGAGCATATATTCCATAGATAGATATTTTCTTTACAACGCATACAATTAAATATTTTGCTGTATTTTCAATCCGATTATTAAAATCAATCTTCTGTTTTATGGTATTTGAAAATAAAAAATATATATTAGATCTATTAATTCAGATATGACATCGCGAAGTTTATACAAATTCGTAGGTCCTAATTATTAGTTATACTCATCATGAAGGCGTATTTTCAGTTTTTAATTTTACGGACTAAGTTGTATTTGTGTAATCTAGAACATTCTGCCTTTACGATATTAATAACTTGATAAATATATTATCTAGATTAATTTTACACCCGTTTGTAGTATGATAAAAATCTGATCTGAATAAATATACTTGTTTTTAAACTGTGTTTTATATCAGGAAATCATATCACTGGTGGACTAAAACAATTCAATTAAAGAATGAAAGCGCAGTCAAAAAGTTTAAATTGGCGATAATTCATATTTCTAGTGGATTAGGAGAAATAGCAATCTGCCACAAACTAGAACGTGCTTATGAGTTGTGTCCAATAGCCGGTTTGTTTTTCTCGGCTGAGTCATATTTCAAATAAACGAATGGAGAGTCTAACTCGGCACACATTCATCACCCTGAAATAAATACCAAAGTTTAAATCAATAGCCGCTTCTGTGCATGTACCCAGATAGATACATCATTACACCAAGTTATCTCTGCAAAAGTTATCATGCTTGTCAGCGCTCCTGCGTTTTTTCCAATTTGTTGCAAGTTTATTTCTATTATTCCAGTCAATTTACCACTTATTATTTCCTACTATAATAACATATTTTATAGGGTCCCTTATTGCTAGCTCGGTAGCCTAATCCCAGTTTCCTAATCGCCTAATGCGAAAAACGGGCATCTTAAAATTTTATATATTGTGTTCTAGTGGACCGATTTTGATGATCTTTTAAGCAATTTGTAGCTAAATTATTTTGACAGCTTTTCAAATTTATAATGAATTGCACCTTCACATGTAAGTGCAGGGACTGTAAGAAGAAGATTAAACGAAGCAAATCTTATGTCAAAATGACCTGCTTCGGGATCACAACTTGCTAGATCTGTTCACCAAACGCATGGTTAAAAATATAAAAATATTAGAGCCTTCTTCAAAAGCGAATATCTCTCTAATTTTTAATTTAGAAAGGGATACTAAAAATTCAAATAATTTGGCTACATATTGCTTGAAAATTATCAAAATTGGCCTACTAGAACAAAATATGTTAAACTTTAAAATACATCAAAATTTGAAGGTGACCGGTTTTCGTGCCGGTGAGTGTATTTTAATTTTGTCATAATCGAGTCTTGTTTTAGTTACTAGACAAACATTAAGTCGCGATCTAATTGTTTCTGTTTATTATTTCAGTTAATAACACATTAAAATTAATATATTTTGATCCTACCTACTTAAAGAAAAGATTTCTGCAATATGATTTTGTTTATAGAATTACTAGCGTGTACCCGCGACTTCGTTCGCGTCGAATTAATCATCTGATGATGATAAAGCAAAGCTGATGATGATAAAGATCTAATGGTGATGATAAAGCAAGGAAAGAATTTCCATTAACATACAAACTGGATAAAATTTTCTCACATGTATGTCAGCATGAGAAAAAACAATATGGCGATATTATTATATAACTTGGTAATATTTGATAAGATTTAATATTTGAATATTTAAGAACGTAAAGATAAGGAAATATGTGTATTAAATATTTAACGTTCGCTATTCTACTAGCATAAATTCTATTCGAAATAATGAGAGAAGCATGAAAAATATTCTGCATTATCCACCGATAATGCACCTGCTTACAACTTATTTGCTGCCTCGCAAAAATCAATGAAACTAGTTTTCGAATAGTTAACTCTACACAACGGCGTTCTATAAAATCCTTTATAATATGATTTTAAATAATGGGATTTAAAATTATTTTAACCAATCTGAATTCTTCTAATAATTTTCTAAATAACAAAACTATGACTATTAACAACTAAATTCTTTTGGCCTTTTTTACAGCAATTCTAATCCTTTGTTACACGGTTAATACTGAAATAATCAACTTATTTTCAACTTGTTTGTCTACTACACCTAGTAGGTTAGTATAGAATTTGATAAAAAAATAAGTTGGGCAATTAAACAAAAGCCACGAAGCTTGTGTGCGATTTTATTATACGTTAGCCGCAAGAGGTCTGACCTGGATACATAACGCTATCGCTATTAATAAAAGCTTTTTAAATGGACTCACCTTACTCTGACTCGTATTCTTTGTCAAATATTAAAGCCAAAAGTTTAATTTAATTCAGTTCCCAGTTAACTCACGGCTTTCTATTAAACTATACCATCTGACGATACTTAAAAAAAGCTAAGCATTTTATGACAATTTCAACAAAGAAACTTTTTTTTAAAGCCTCTTTCGATACTCATCTCGCTTCGTTTTGTTTTTTATTAAGGTAATATATTCCAAGTATTATTATTAAAATATATAAAAAAATTATATTAACCGTAAAATTATCGAAAAATATTAAAGGAAGGAAGATCTTTTATTTAATTTTATTTGGAGGAAATGAATATTTATTTATCAAATAAATATTCAATGTAATTTTAATACAGAATATGTATCAATAACTTTTTGAAAACTCACTGCTTTTAATATTTTTTTGAATACTTGTCATGCAGCTCAATGAATTCCTGACAGGGGTATCATAATCACAGGTTTCCATGGTTAACTTTATAGCTGTATACCGCGTGTTTCTTAAGAGTGGCTCATTCCTAGAACTTATTTTTTTTTGGACAGAAAAACGAGATGTGGTATGTTAATATATCATAAGAATTAGGATTGATTGACATATTCAATTGTTTTCAGTTACTTCCTGTTTCACAGGAAATGAGTACAATTTTTTTGTAAGGATTTTTAAATGGCACCCTCGGTATTTTATTACTTCATTTCAAAGAAAACATTCTAAATAAAATGACTACTTATGTCAACTTTTGACATTTTCATTTATAAAAAATAATTTTAAATTTCAATTTAGATGGCATGGCACTCCAGATTTAAAATACAATTTTTAAGCGAGAATATCAAAAGTTGACATTATGATATGTCATTCTATTCAGAGTGTCATTTTATATCGAATAAAGTAGAAAAATACTGAGGGTGCCATTTAAATTCAAAAGTTGTAGTCATTTCCGGTGAAACAGGAAGTGACCAAAAATAATTGAATACGTCAATCAATCCTGATTTATGTCATATACTAACGTATCAAATCTCGTTCATTTATCTAAAAAAATTAAAAATGTTATAGGGGTGAGCCACTTTTGAGAAACACCCGATATATATCCTCTATTTATAACCACAGACAACATAATAGAGATAAAGAAATCAAAAATATTTTAATTAAATTATTGCAAACGTCTTTTTTAATTTTCTAATAATGATGTAATTGTGCCGTTACTGAGCTAAAGCTAAATGTAGCAAATTAAAAAAAAGAACGATTGATGTATTGAAAATACGGGATGTTCAGGAAAAGTTTAATATAGCGAAAGCTTGAAGTGAGGAATCGGCCAACGGTAATGCAAGTCAACCAATAGATTACAAAGGATTTTATGGGAACAACTGATTTATTTGATGCACTCACCACAGTTGGACCGTTGTAACCATCCCTTGGTTTGTCGCTTTCCTGCTTGTGGACATAGTCGGCGCCGATGGGGATTTTCTTGTTCAGTAATTCGACGTGGATTGTGTCCGTCTTTAGTCCCGCCCGTGATTTCGACAGGCAATTATACTTGCCATCCAGTACGCTCTCGCCGTTATAATCTACCGTAGCGCGACCAATGCTGAGCTCTGCCTTTTTCTGTAAAACTCATTCATTAACATTCGTTTTTTGCTTACACGGGATCCATTTAAAGATTTAAGACTTTTTGCGACCTTACGGAACTTATCTTCTTGCAACACAAGTACTATTAGAGCTATTCTTCCCAACTTTATTAATTGCTCTCGATTTTTTTCTTTAATGCCGTGTTTGGGTTCTTTTAAGCGCGTAAGCAAACTTTCTAATTTACCGCCTTGTCTCGGTTAGTAGATAATTACTGTGCTCCGGTCAAATAATAATTATAAAAGGTAAATCATAGCATAATGTATTATGAACTACAGAGTGGCGCCTCTCATACGACGCGAAGGCTCCAAGGAGAGCTACCCTTTATATTGAAATGAAATTTTGTGAGCATATATAAGTTAAATTAGAGCATTTTTTAAAAGTATAGAGAGTTCTAGAGGGTGTCCCCAAAAAAGTTGCACATCAAAGATTTGTATTTTGTAATGGAACACCTTACATATTAATAGATTTTCGGTTTCTAGGAGAAAAATGAAAGCGTTTTATTAGAGAAGTACAATAATGATCGAAAAAAATCGACCTCAGCGATGCCTATGAAATGAAGATCGCTGTCATTTTATTAGTAAAATTATATGTGAAATATCATCGATCGTCATTTCCAAGCCAACTGAACGACGTTTTTTTTTTCCGATCATACGATATAAAATTAAAATGTAAGGTTTTTGACATATTTTTAAATTACAATAAATAATAGATAAATTGGAATTTACCCGGTCGGTGTAGCCCAATATGTAGTTGAAATATATATTGTACTTTAAATTAAATTAAAACTTGACCAAAAAAGGGTGAGACAAAATTAATATTGAACATTGGTCACATTTAAAAGCAAGTTACTCTTTTTTATAAATGGATATAACTTTCCTATAGCAGTTAAAATATTTTCCTGAAATACATCTTCGTACATACTTTAGGTGTGCACTTAACAATTATAGCTTTTATTATAGGAGCTACAGATGCCCGACGCACTATTGCCGGACCCTCTATGGGTACACACGGTATACACGAACTTAGTGTTGTATGATTTATACAAAAAAGCATTCAGTTAAAAATCTAAATTCTCCGATAAATTTCAATTAAACAACATTTGTAACATGGCAAAGGGAATAGAATGTCTCATTTGTGTAAAATTACGCAATCCAATTTTGTACTCACATCATATTCATAGTGGACAATTCCAATATGTCTTGTAGCCAGGGGCAACTCAAGTAAGAGATTTCCTTTGTAGTTTCGATCGGTAATAGGAGTTCCCGTTTTTATGTCACATTTACTGTCCAAAAGTGCAGTGCTATTGGCCCAAAACGCTTTGATATATCGGTTGTAAATGGTCCTGGAAAATAGAGAATTCGACGTTATTTGAATGGATTTTTTTATATATTATATATTGACGTTTATTTTGAAACGTATATAATCCCAGATATGACCAAAATTTGTCAAAATTCTTCGAAAAAATTCAGAAAAAAGTTTTAGTAAAAATCTCAATATACCACTATCTTAAAGAAGTATTTTATTATATTGTTTTTATGACATTATATCAATTTCTTTTATTTCTTAAATATAAGGTAAACTATAATTTCTATTCTGTTTCAGAATATATAGGATACACTATTTAGAATTTTGCAATAAAAATAAAATTGGACGTATACATACTCTGTTGTTTCTGCTTTAAAATGCGCTCCTGTGAAATTAAAGTTCTTGTACGGAACTGATATGTTAAACATGCCAAACATATTTGCCAATTCTACATAATCTATTGTAAAATGTGCCAGTGATACATCCTCGGGATAGAATGTTTTGCATCTGGAAATGTAAAGAATATTTTAAGAAAATGGTCTTCCGCTATTCCGTGTAAGATTTAAAAGAGACAAAATCATGTTTTAAACGGTTTATACCGTTCTTTAGTAGCAAGGAGTAGAAACATATAAGGGCTATATGAGTGTAGTAATATAGAAAATTTAAATGACCTAGTGACTGAAATAAATGCATTTTTTGAAATTTGACGTACGTTATATTGTGATGTGTCCCAATTTTTTCATAGTTTATGTCAGCGACAAAAAGTTGTTTTTGTGAGTATTTTGGTGTTTTTAGTTTGTATATTAACTCTACCGATTTGTTAAGATTTTTTAAGTGTCCATCGTTACGATACTCTTCGCCATTCCACTCCACAACGGCATCAACCGATATATCATCCTTGTTTGGCAGTATTATCTACAAAAAAAAAATTATTATTTTCTTTATTGAATATAATTAAATATAATTTGTATCTATGAGTATACCTTTGCCCAGGATCCGTATTTTCTAACTGGATAAGAGCTTCTGTATTTCAGCAAATAATCAATAAGTTTCAAATAATCGGTGTATTTGAGCTCAGCAAATAAACTGTGGGTTTCCTTAAAATTGTTTGGTATTTTTAAATGTCCTTCCAATCCGATGTTGTTTTTTCCGGGTAGTTTCAGAGATATATTCGAACCAGCTCTAAAAGTGTTTTATTGCTAGAGATTTTCAGCAGATAAATGTACGATCAGAAAGTTTTAGAATTACTGTACATCGCTTCTTGGTTTTAGTTTGGGTCATGTCAAATATAACGATTTTACTAGGACAGAAGTTTACTTTGAAACATAGGAAAAATATATATTGATACATGAAGTACTTACCGCAGGGGGTAGTATGACTGTATGCATACTACTTTGTGGAGTGACGCCCCCGCGGGTCCCAGTTACTTAAGTCGAGATTAAGGGTAAATAGTTACACGAAAAAAACTCAAACGAATAATGCTTTAAAAAATAAAGACATGCTGTAAAAACTTCTATCAGGATTTGTGGATATTGAAAAGAATTTATATTACTTATAACAAGGGTACCTGTCCGGGATTGGTACTATTTATTCCACAGCGTCAGAAGATATGAAAACCTTACTTGACTTACTCACACTCCAATTTTTGTCTAAAAAAACAAGAAACAAGAAGAGCAACATCTTAGTTTCTAAATATAGACGCACCGAAAGACACCTCACAACCTTAAAATTTTGATATAATTTAAAGTTTAATATATTTTGTTCTAGTTGGTCGATTTTGGTGGTTTTTTTTAGCAATATGTAGCTAAATTATTTGACTTTTAGTATTTCTTTCTTAATTAAAAATGAAAATGTGTTCCGAACTTTCACCAAAATAACATTTTGTGTCCCACATATAATTGACAGAAGTGAACTTTCATTTTTAATATAAAAAGAGATACTAAAAAGTCAAATAATTTAGCTACAAATTGCTACAAATGAAAGACATCAAAATCGGTCAACTACACCACTATATATAAAACAATAAAATACGTCATAATTTTAAGGTGTCCGTTTTTTGTGCCGGTGCGTTTGGTAGGAAAACGACAAGAATATTCAGCTGAGCGAAAATTGCTCAGCTCGGTTCTAGAAAAAACGAATTCGGATGAGACTGAAATACGAACGTCTCAACTGGAATAGAAACTCCAAACTCATGCTAGAGATTTTTAATCGTCGCAAAAATGGCAAGAGTAAGTGAACTACAAAGTTCTAAAGTGTTTCCAACATGGTACCATCTCTTGGATAAAATGTTACAAAACATTATCCAATAGTTATTCAAGTATATCTCAGAACTTACGACCAAGAAAAAGCTTTACCTTCATTTAAGTAAAAACATCTTGTCTCCTCAACGAACACCTCAGTAGATTGAAATTAAGAACCAAAGGCGTATGCAGATTGTATGTTTTTCAAGTTTGGTACGACAGATATTGAAGATGAAGAACTAACCTCTGTGAAACCGTCTCAGATACTGGCTTTTGTCAAAGCCCTCAGACTGTATGATGAGTTATAACTCAATCTCAAGAAGGGGAACACAATAGATCTGTCAGTCGCGATGATTAACCCCCCTCCCATACATTCTACATTCTATTCAAGCATATATTTTAATTATAAAACTTTGTGATCGTCGGATACTACAAAAATAATGGAAATAAACTCACTCCCATAGTGTATCAATTTTTATATCTCCACCGGTGTCGAGCTGCTGGAACTTTTTCTCCGGATTTTTATAAAACATTTCTAAGGTCGATGAGCTCACGTAATGAGCATTTTGATAGCTTCCAACGGCTTTCACAAACATATTTTCTAAATATAACGATATAAAGTCTATATCAGCCATTCCCTTTACTTGAGTTAGTTCAAAATAACCTCGGGCTCTCTTCAAAACATCTTGCGAGCTAAAAATAAGGAACTTCGTAACTTACATAAAAAGTACAGTTTTCTTTAACAGCAAGTATATCTATTTAAAAAGAAACCTAGAAAATGATCCCATCTATTCTTTCATTCTCAGTTAATATTTGTTAAATTTGGTCATTTGTGTAAAGTATAAAAGCATTATTAAGTACTTTTAAGCGAAAAAATAGAGGCATATTATATTATTAATTATCTTTCTCCAATGCTTTTAAAGCTTTTGTGTAAGAATTGGTAATAGTCCTGAATAAGAGTTGTAAGAGACAGCTTTTTTGGTTACAATTTTTATTGTTTTCCGTTAAAGTCTATCCAATACCTTATTTTAATAATAAAAATATAACTGCTGATGAAGTGATATCTTAACGGATAACGAAAAGAAAATTGAAAAGATAGAAGGTTCACTTTTCAAATTTTTTGCAAATATTAAGCTGGTGCAAGGCAATGAAGCATTGCAGTTATGGTCAGGCAAAATATTGTTGTTCTTCGGTGAAAAGAAAGATTAAAAAATGTAGTAAAGCTATCAATAAATTCATCATGTATATGCTAAGATTAACATCTTATTTTGTTAATTAATGAATTAATGAAAATATTTGTTTAATATTTTTATTTTAAGTATATATATTCTATGATATGAACATACTTGATTTTTTAAATAGCAAATATTTTAAAAGATACGTTAATAAGAATTTAAAGTAAAATAAGAAACTTATTATATAATTGTTTTTATTTTATAGTTACTTTTTACAGTAATATATATTGGTATTTTTGTTTCTCGCGGGTTTATTTACTTCCATCATAGAGCATTTACCATTAAAACAAAATTAATCTAACCGAATATGATGAATGCAAAATTGCAGTTTCGTCTCTTTTATTCTATCGAACCGAAGCCGTGGACATATGCAAATTTTTTAATTATTTTTTCATTTGATAACAGTTCCAGATAAATTTTCTTATGAATTTTAAATACGAATTGCATATTTAGATTGAAATAGGGCCTTTCTCTAATTATCTTTATCAGGTGCCATACGTACCATTATACTTTTCCTGTTCGCTAAGAGAGGTGGCGATGAATTATTAAAATTACACCAGGAAATACAATTATCCTTTACATAAATACACTCGCAAGCATGAAAAACGGGCATCTTAAAATTTTGATGTATTTTAAAGTTTTGTATATTGTTTTCCAGTCGCCAAATTTTGATGGTCTTTCAAGCAATTTGTAGCTAAATATTTGAATTTTTAGTATCCCTTTCTAAGTTAAAAATGAAAGTTCCCATATCTGTCCATAATACGAGGGAAAAACAAGATGTTGATATTTTGGTGATTTCATCAAAATAACATTTTGTGTTCTCTCTTATAATTGACAGATGGGAACTTTCATTTTTAATTTAGAAAGAGATACTAAAAAGTTAAATAATGTAGCTACAAATTGCTTAAGAGATCATCAAAATCGATCCACTAGAACACAATATAATATAAAACTTTAAAAAACATAAAAATTTTAAGATGCCCGTTTTTCCTGCCGCGCCGGTGAGTGTAATACATTTAAGATATGTTTATAATAATATGTAAATGGCGAGTTCTTACTGGTCACTTTTAGTGTGAATCAGTTTTCATGAATCATTTTTTATGAACCTGCCTTGCGTTCATATTGTTTCATAAAATATGATCATTTTAAAACTGTCAACTCATGTTTCAGTCACTAAAAATGGCATCCCGCAAAAGAAAGTTGATATGTAGTGCAGTTCGTGAAATATGTGTGCAAATGTCTTGTGATATACAACATATTATCGTAGAAACTAAAAAGAAAGAAATATATATATATATATATATATATATATATATATATATATATATATATATATATATATATATATATATATATATATATATATATATATATATATATATATATATATAGTATATATACATATATGGTATATATCTTCAGCACCAGAACCACTCTTTTCCGACTTTATAATTTTATTTAACTCTGTTTTGTAGTTAGTTCGAAGAATCTTAATTTTGTTTTTCACATCTTCTACTGTTAATCCAGGCAAGTTCAAACCCGAACAAATTTTATTTTAAGCAGCATCACGGGCATTTTTATTTTTGTATTGGCTACTGCTTACGTTCCAAAGACATTCTTGTTCCCTATAAATATGTCCATCGCGCCACTTAAACACGATTTTGATAATCACAATTCACTTAAACAAATACACAGCCAGAAAACTACCAAAGAATTAATGATCAGTAAATATTATGTGTTCATTTTATGAGAAACGTTATTGGTTCAATATATGTAGAATTTAGTGGCTTTTTACTTCAATATAAATTTGCCTAACCAGCAAAAAGCACGTAAAAATCCGAGGTAAAAAAATACCACGTCATCAAAAACGACCAGAAAAAATAACAATCAAGTTAAAATATAAAAAATGAATATTATATCAATTTTAATACATATGTATATCTATTTAATGGCTGATGTATTTGAGAAATTTATTAGAAGAAAATTCAGACGAAATATTGCCATAGGGCTACTTGACAAAGCGGTGTAAAATGGTTTTGTTTAACGCATAAACTGAAATATATCGTTGTCTGGAGACCAACAAAATGACGAGTTTATAATGATACCTGTAAAGCGTAATAAATAAAATTTGGTTGACGTTTATTTCGTGGCGATAAATTATAGTATTTGATGCAGTAATCACCTTTTATTACAATGACATACTTATATAGTGCTATACTTTATCACACATACAGGGTGGCCCTTTAATGCGAGGAACTTCAATATCGTTGTTATTGTCGAAGACATGAAAAAAGTTTTACGTAGATGTTACATGGTTTATAATAGTGCATATCCTAAAAAATTGTTGTATGGGGGGTGTCACAAAAAAGTTTGATTCAGGATAAAATTCTTAAAATGTATAGTACACTATTTTTATTTGAAGCTCTATGCGGTATTGCCATTCTCTTTCTTATTTATTAAAAGATTGGTTAAAAAAACTATATCCGAAAAGTGGTTAAAATCTGCTATATTTTCCTAAACACCAAGGATAACAGAATAAATCCGGGAAGAAAATATTACATTATCCTATACATAGGATTTTGTATGGCGTCACCAAAATCAGAATATTTAATTTTATATAATACTTAATTTTCCCTGTATATTATTTTTCGTTTAGATGCAGACTTAAATAATGAACATTTTTGTATTTCAAGTTTTCCTAAATTTTTAGCGGTTTTGCAGATATTCGCTGTATTATATTATATATTATGGGGTTTTCAACGGTAATATACCAGATAAAGATCATATTAGGTGGTTTTGATAAAAATTCATTGTTGGAAGAGTCATTACTAATACCGGGTGCGTCTCAAAAATGGCTCACCCATATAACTTTCTTATTTTTTCAGTTAAAAAAACGAGATTTGGTGTGTTAGTATATATCATAAATTAGGATTGATTGACGTATTCAATTGTTTTCGACCACTTCCTGTTTCACATGCTTTTTCGAAATATGCTAATGAGCCGAAAAAATTGAGATATGATTAAAAATACGATTTGGGCATTTTTTAACCGGCCAGGACAAGACACTAAAAACATTAGGCGATCAAATCTATTTTTCCAAGGCTCCTTGATTAAGAATTAGTATAAAAACACTAATTCTTAATCAAGGAGCCTATCATATTTTTAGTTTTTATCATAGCCATGGCACTCTAGATTGAAATTTAAAATACAATTTTTTATTAAGCGAGAATGTCAAAAGTTGATATATGATACGTCATTCTATTCAGAATATCATTTTCTATCGAATAAAGTAAAAATATACCGGAGGTGCCATTTAAAAATCAAAAGTTGTAGTCATTTCCGGTGAAACAGGAAGTGGCAAAAAACAATTGAATGCGTCAATCAATCCCAATTTATGTCATATACTAATATACAAAATCTCGTTTTTTATCTGAAAAAATAAAAAAGTTATAAGGGTGAGCCACTTTTGAGACGCACCCGGTATAATACCGGCGAATATCTGCGAATGCGTTAAATATTTAAGAAAACTTAAAGTAGTATACAGTGTTGCATTTAAAAAAAATAGATATAGCATTTTTAAAAATTACCCTGCATAAGGTAATATAAATTGTAATATTAGCTAATAAATATTAATAAATTTACCCTTGTTTTTAACTACTTTTTGGATATACTGTATTTAAGCAGTTTTATATAGTGATAATTTGTATAGCAATTTATATAAGAAATAGAATGGCAACACCGCATAAAGCTTCAAATAAAAATAGTGTACTATATGCAGAATTTTAGGCTGAATCCCACTATCTACAGAAAAATGGGGTTGCAATATAAAAAAATTAAAACTTCATCATACATTTTTGCGATCCCTATATACAACAAAATATTTTTAGGATATGGCGCTTTATAAACCATACAACATCTGTATAAAACTTTTTTTCATACCTTCGACAACGACGAAGTTATTGAACTTCCTCGCACTTAGTGAATGGGCCACCCTGTATGAATTACTGTTAATAGTTACATTCATATGATTTAATACAACGAATACTTACTTTAGACTAAGACCAAATTTGGGATTTTCAAAATTGGGTATACTTGTTGCAAGTGCAACATCCAAACTTGTCATCTTATCGAGGTACTTTGTGTTAATAGATGCTTTCATTTTTTGAGCAGGATTCGTAGGTTCCACCTAAAAAAACGGTATAGGTAAATCAATTGCAGTATATTTAAGTGAAGTAAATATACAAAAAGATCCAAGTTAAAAAAAAAACTCTGTTAGGCCTGGTAGTTGTCCTTTTAGTTGCAGCATCTTTGAAATTAAAATTTGTAGAGGTATTTAAAGTTATGTTTCAACTTTTGGGCGGTAAAGAAAATATGTTTGTTTAAAGGAGTATACTTTAGAAAATATGTAAGTACCTGCAAATTAATATTCCAGTTATATAATTTATTGTCTGTCGTGGCGTCACCCTTAAAATGGGTAAATCTGTTCGAATAATTTAGAAAACCAACTAATTCGTAGCCTTTTAACGTCTTCTCGAGATCGTATTGAAAAGTCAAAGGAAAGCTATTATCTTCTGGAATAAAAGTGATTAAAAGTTTTACGGGTAAGCTCCCTATAACATTTGCGGTTCCATTTATATTGTATAGTTTATCTCCGAGTAATAAAGTCCCTTCAAGTTCACGCTGATTTGGAGTCGGTGCTAAGATTTTGCAATTCACATTCACTGGATATCTAAAAACAAATATTGAGGAGTTCAATTTAATATATTTCTTTTCAAGAAATTCTAATATTCTTTTAAGCTTCATTACACATTAAAATCGTTCAAAAATAGTTATATTTTGTTCTAGTAACGGAACATGTAGGATTGGTTAAAATTATATTACATTCCTCGTAATTTTCAGTTGGAAAGAGAATATTTCTTTATTAAAAATTTTGAAACAAGAACATATCGCTTTGAAGTGAGGATACGCGTTACACAGTAAACTTTTCAATGAAAAAGTATTAACAAAAGATTAGAGATTCGTGGAAGCAGGATTAAATTTTATTTCTTCCAAACACCGCTTTATTACGAATTAAATTAAACTTTCCACTGGTTTTTCAAATTTGTTGTAGCCCAAAGTACGGCAGAATACATTCCAGATTAATTTCAACTAAGTGTCAGGGTGTTAAAAATTAAATATTACCTTTTTTGTAACAAGAAACAAAAAGCGCTTACGGTATTTTTTTGCGAACATTTATTTTGAGCTATAATTTCATTATAATAATTCAACATATAATCTAATGATATTTTTTAATTTGATGTTAATACTTTTAATCTAAATTTGGAGACAATCCACATTTGTCTCTACCTAACTAAACATAGGAAATTAATTATATAATATTATAATATATTAATAAAAAAAAATATTACCTCTTAGTATCAAGTTGTAACACTGATTGAGCTGTTAAAACATCCCCTTGTAGCGTGGAATTAAGTTCAATATCTATAGGTTTAATGTGAGCGGAAGCTAACAAAGTTGATCTTATGTCTGTAGATAAGAAATCCACACCGGCACTAGTGTTTTCAAGACCCATGAAAGGAGTTTCGAGTTGGAAAGTAGTTTTAAACTGATCCAAAGATTTGATGAGCCAAGAAGTTCTGAAATAAACCTAAAAATTTAGCACGGTTACGGCTAAGGATCAAATTACACACCTTAGTTAACTTTCATTTTAACGTTTTTAATTTTAACGCCAATGATAAGAACACTTTTATGCTTTGGTTAATTTTTCGCAAAAACGAAATGGAATCTTAGTATCTCTACCAACTTACTTCCGACTTTAGGTTTTCGGGAACTTTGAGTCGCAATTCGACGTAGTTTTCTGATGATGATAGCAGTTTTACGATGCTTAATTGACACTGAGGGATAACGATAATAGGTGTCTTAATATGGAACTCGGAGCTTAAACTCGCCCAGCCTTCATCTACCTGAAATTTATTAGTTTTAAATATATTTTTAAAATTTCTTTGTATAAATTTAAAACCTCATCATAAATTTATAAGATTATGGGAAATGCTTTTCGAATTTAAAATCACCATTTGAGTACAGGTTTTTTTAAAACGACCTATAAATGTATAGTAATCCAGTTCCACTACTGATGTTTATTTCAACTTAGTATTTAATAAACTAATATTTAATCTCAATATTCGCATATAAATATTATACATAGTAAATTACAATTTTTTAGGTCTGCAATGAAACATAAAGGAGTCATATCACCTAAGAATAATATACTTTAGGATAATTAAAAGTATATGTTCTATCAGTCACACTAAAAGAAGAAAGCGCAAGTTGAAGTTATCCAATAAATTAAATCCAAGAAAGTTTCTGAACCAAAGAAAACCTTAATGCGGTGTCTTGAACGACGTCATCCCTGGCAGACAATCGATGCAGAACTGCGGTAAGAGGGGTCCCAAGGGAGCCATATTATAGCCACTCAAGTGTCTGGAGTGATAACTAACAACAGCGGAATAAAATATTACAGGTCACGATTCACCGTCAAAAAACTAAAATATCTAGATTCAGATTTGAAAAAAGTTTGCTCACATTTGTCTGAATGACAATAAAAAAATATATAATGGCGAATGCTCATATTTCAATCATATTTCTAGTAGATAGAGTGGATTTCATTTTGAAAACGTGATTCTATTAAATGGTGGTGTGAGAAATATAATAAATAGTTAAAAAACTGATTAAAAGTAGCACTGAACAAAAGTAGCAATAGAAACGCAATTACATTCAAATCTAGAATGCCACTTTATCTAGAAAAAAAGCATTGGACTAATGTGTACTACCAGTTATGACCTATGGACCTGGACACTTAAAACGGACATTATACGGTTTCTTTGGTTAACTGCAGGTCGCATAGCGCTGGTATGCTGGGAAAAAAGCAAGAAACATCGTAAAACAATAGAGTGGATACGACAAAAGATTCGGGTAATAGGTGTCATCCACAGAATCAAATCCCTCAAGTGAGGTGACCTAGAAGAAAACCAAACTTGAGATGGAACCATAATATTACTACAACCATAATTAGAATTGGTAGAACAAGCTAAAAATGATGATGATAAAAGACTGATGATTGGTCTTGGAAATATTTGTTTTCCATTAATAATAATTTCATTTATCTCACGTATATTGATATTGGTTTTTAACGAAAAATAAATAGGCTTTGTTCAGCGTTAAATCTTTAAAAATTTACTATTTCGAGGACACTTCGGTACACAAAAAATGCATCTGGTTTTTGCAACAAGCTGATGATAAGTGCAGATAAAATAAAACGTATATCTGATATTTATTCCTGATCTAACCAAAAACGTTGGTCTCATACCATATAGTAAAGCTATTCAATTTAAAAGTCACAAAGCGCTTATTTAATTTCTTACTTCTATGGTAGCGTCCAAAGATATATCGCTCCTATTTGTGTTGAATAATAGCTTAGTGCGATAAAAATTCTCCTCGGTTTCAAAAGCCCCAAACAAATTCAACTTTGGAAAAGCTTTAAAGGGGGTATTTACTTCAAGAGTGGCGTTGTAAATTCTTTCGTCAATATCCCTTCCGTCTGAGTTGTATTCTGTTAAAACTCCTGTCTGAAAAAACAACAACGACAGCGACAAACTTTAGTTGTTGGTACTTTAATGCCTTAAAAATACTACGGGAAAAACAAAACGGTACATTGAGTAAAAGGCGTTTTTTAAATTTGCATTGTCTTATATTTTTAATAGCACGATACGTAATAATAAATCAGTAATCTCTATATCATATTCCATTCTTAAATGTGTTTTAAAATATTTTAAATTCGATTTATTAAGATGCTTCTGAAAGTCTTAAAAAATTCTGTCTAATATGACAACATGTCAATTTAATCCATTGCGCCTTAATTAAATTATACTTTCTGCCAGTTATTTTTACGAAATATTTTTAATACTAAAGATATTAGAATTTAAAACACTGTGGATAATTTTTTACAAAGAGCGAATTTTTCTTCTACAAGGGTTAATAGTTAGGCTCTGAAGGTACTTAACTTCTACAAGGGTTAATTATTAAGTTAAGCTCTGTTAATTTCTAATACAGACAGAGAAGAATAATTTTCAATTGAACAACTATAGAAGCCAACATATAATAATTGTCCATTTGCAGTTCACTTCATTTAAAACTAAGGTTATTGCTTATATAATAAATGTTAAACAGTATATTTAAAAATGTTGCAAATTCAATAACCCTCCTTTACTCAATAACCTACATTTAGAAACCCCAATATAAACATTACCTTGATAAAGTCCGTGCCATTCTGATATATTACACCTAGTTTAAATAAATAGGTATGTCCTTGAATAACGTGTAGCTTAAAGTCTGAAGTTATAGTCTTCAAAGCTTTATAGGGAGTCACAATTTTTAGGCCATTGCTCATTGATAATATATCCTGAAAAATAAGCAAGTCAAGCAGAGTAAGATAAAGGATTTATGGTGAACATTATCTTTCGTTTCTTGAATATTTTTTAATTTACGACTTTTTTTGAACCGAAACCACTCTCGCCAATTTTAGATTATTTTGAATATATTCGACAATATAGAAAGGCCTTTTATGTACTCGACTTATTGAAAAATACACCATTTAAGCAAATACACTGTTACTAAATGAATAATACGAGTATTAAAACAATAATATGAAATCATTATGCTTCAGTGAGTACATCTGTAAATCAAAATTAAAATTTTCTGCATGGGTCGATACTTTAAAATTTTTGTCGACCTCTTTGTCTCTTTAAAATGTATTTTTGAGTTTCGCCACGGAATAACTTTGGTTCACTAAATTTACGTTATGCTGAAGCAGAAAATTTAAAAGTAGGTTCACACGTACGTGTTTAAGCATCCATCTTTCTGTCGTTAGTGCAGCATTTTTCTTTTATTGTCTAAATTAGCGCTTCTTACTTTTATATTATATTTTATATATTTACAATTTACTCTGTTGTATGTGAAATGTATTTATATAATTCTACGATCTCTTTATGAAATATTTACAGCCCAGAAGCATCCAGCGGAAATGATATTATCATATATTTATCCCAGTATTAAAACAATTAAATTAAAGATAAATTAACCGTAACGCAAAAGTAAAATAAATTAGGTAATTGAAATATAAGATCTTATTTTACGTTTTATCTTTTTCATTATACGTTATTATTTTCTTCGTATACAAACAATGGTATTTCAATGTTCGTTCTAATACAGTTTTTCATGCTCTGATAAAACTAAGCGAAATTTTGTGCGAGATAAAGAAATTTTATTATTATTTTGTAAATGAGTAACTAATAATTATTTTTTTATAGGGCAAAAATATTTACGTATCTTTTTTAATTCACGGTATTAAGATATTTCATATTTTATTTTATCATTAATACAAGCAGAATTATGAATGAACTTTTTCTATAAATTTAAATAAATAAATAATAACAGTGTAGGGCTTCTAGAATACAACTATGGGAATTACTTAAATGGGAATTAACCCTAGAATTTTTAAGTTTAGACGAGTGGCTTACCTAGCATATGTCAGACAAAAAATAATATTGATGAAAAGATAAGAGCTATAGTAGAGGTATTTGCTTATTAACTCGGTTCATAATTTACATTCTTTTATTTCTTCTCTTACATGTTTGATTTAAACTTAAAAAAGTATTAATTATTTTAAGTTTAATAAATTATTCTCTAGGAATATAACAGAACATAAAGTATGAAAATTAAAAAATATATTTTGATATTTTGGTAGCAAAACTAATCATTTGCACCATCAATATAATTAGAGATTGCAATAATTTCCGCAAATGTGTTAACGTTAACAACAAATTATACTCTGATAATTCATAATTTAACTTTTCTCTATAATTTCTCTTTGAATTATATTTATGTTACATTCAAAGGGTTAGCTTTACAGCTAAGTAGAAAATTCATAATTTGTCAAACTATGATACACAAATTGGTATTTTCATAAATAGCAATAAAATAGTTTATAACGAGATTCTTGTGGCGTGAAATTACTCACAATGTATTCGAATTCATCTAATATGGTAGCTATGCCATCTGGCATATGGATTTTCGCCTGAAGGACATACAAAGGCCCCTCCTGGTCTATCTCTAGTTCACCCTTCATCGTTGGGTATATTATTGCATCTAGTTCAATTAATCCTTCCCAACTTAGAAGTTCGTCATCTTTATCGCTAGTGCCGTGAACGGACTTCGAATTGTACACGCTTTTCATATTAATTCCTAATTCCTTTAATGGCTTCGGTTTTGGTTTCCCAATTACCTTCACTCCGACCTAAAACGTATCAAAAATTAATTTTAAACAATCCGCTTCTGAACTTCACAATGCCAGAGTGTCACTGATGCAATTTCGAAAGCAATCAATCGTTGCAACAGTTGGTAAAAAATCTCTCAGCACTGATTTGTTGTAATCTAGACTACGTCTTCTGTGGTGTAATTTAATGTGCAGTAACTAATTGTATATCTGATTTTAAAAAAAATATAGAAAAGATAGATGGTATCACGTTACAACTTTATAAAAAATACTTCTTTAAAAATATATGTATAAATTAAATATATTTATGATTTTCTATTATTATTATATAATAAATTATATTAACTACCCACACTATACTTATTAGTACTAGTATATATAGTTACTAGTACTTATTTATACTATATAGTATAAATATTTATTTTACTTATTAAATTACAAAAAAGCACTGCAAATGATTTAGAATAAGAGTAGGTATATATTTATTTAAAATATAATCTGCAGGCTATAAAAAATTCTATTAAATTCGTTTATTAATTTTTTCATAATCTTAATTACCAAATTATTGGTCTTAACAATTACAAACAAAAACAAGTTTTTTTTATTTATAATTACTTAAATTACATATAGTGCTAGAACCTTTTGCAAAATTTTGTTAAAGTAGAAAGGCGAAAAAGGAGTCTAAAAGTATAAAAAGGATTAAAGAGAACATATTTAAAAAAGCTATGATTTATTTTATACCCTTGGCTTGAACGTACTTTTCTGAATGTTGGGTATAACGATGTTAAGGAAGATTTATAATGAATACTATGTATACTAACGTTAAAAGTTGGGACAGACACAGAAAGCATGGATCTGAATAAAAGTAGGAGATAATACGCTTAGATATTTTAGACGTATTATTAAAATTAGGGATAACATTCTTGTAGAAAAGTTTTGTTGAAAATTCCTGCTATTTTTGAGTTAAGAAAAGGAACATCGTATTAAAATTCACCTTAAAACATCTTATAGATAATAATATATAAAATAATAGTAACTATAAAATAATAGTAACTATTTAATATTCATGACCTACCAAACATAATACATCGAAAATTAGATTGAATGTTACGAAAATAAAAAAAGTTTAAGAAAACCATTGGAGAAACTGATTTGCATTTTAACAGGGATTTTATTTAATTTAGCATGAACTAGCATGCGTTGGCACTCTTGTCAGGCGTAACGTAAGGGTGTTATATTTGCTTAGTATTAAACGAAAAGTTTTGAACCAATAGTAAACAGACTTAGGGTAATCTATTAAGAAAATTTTGTTAGAGAATTGCCTGAGGAAAAGTTTGCGTTTCGGTACACAAGCACGGGCTGAAAATTTATAAGTAAGGATCTATATTTTCAGTGTTTGCTCCAAATCTTTTGCAAGTTTGTTGCTAATAATAGGAGTACAGTAATCGTGGCAAATATTTAAGAACTCTCACACTTGACAAACACACCTTAGTATAGAAGACATATAAAATGTAATATTATAATAGAAATATTATGTTTTTAATACATATACCTACGCTTTACCTTATATTTAGATAATTTGAAAGACATTTCAAAATCTAAACCTTCTGTGACTACTAGTTTGCCGACAAGGCCATTCTCCTCAAAATCTTTTATCGGTGTGTAAATCTTGTATAAGTATTCAAAGTCGATGATATTTACATAATGCCATGCCCCGGAGAATCCTAACAATAACGGGTTCCAGCCTACCCGAAAGTCTGCCTGAAAGTTCAGTTGTGTACAAAACCAATTAAATTTATAAAGAAATAGTTAGGGAAGTCGATAAAATAACAATCTCCTTATTCACAAAGAAAAAAAGCATTCAATGACGTTATTATGTTTGCATATATTTTTTGTTTAGTATATGATTTAACTTGATCTAAAATTAGCTCGGTTTGCGGTAACAGTTCCCAACTAGTAGGGGACTAATCGAATGCATAGTCCAGGAAGTTATGTTCTGTGTTGGCTTTTGACATTAGACCGATTCATTATCGATAGGAAATCAACCTCTATTAAGGTGAGTTTATATGTATCCGTAATGCGTCGTCTGTCGTTTTTTCGTGCATTTCTGTTGGTTCATTTCAAATGGGGAAAATTGGCGGGATACCACATGCAGCGCTGGAAAAAGTTGAGTTTCCGTTAAATAAAAAGAGATGATAAACACAGGTGCTAAGTTGAAAAAGGATAACGATAAATAAATTACAAATGTTTGTTTTTTAAAATACTATCTTTATTATTTTCTGTTATTTTATAATAAACGGGACAATTTACGTAATTGAGTAACAAAATACTTACAGAAACGATCCACCTCATCTTCCTCAGGAGATGGTTTATTTAATTGTTATAGTAAAATCTCTCCTACCTGGGAAATATTTGACTTGCATTCTAAAAATAAATTAAATTTAATACTCTTGCTAAAAGAAAATAACAAACTAAATTTTTTCTTCCACCCTGAGTTGATGATACATTACACATTGATGACCAATCATCTGTAAAATAGGTTTAAGTCGGTACATATATGTTTCATAAATACTGAATAATATTTGCCATGCTCCCCATCTTCTACACTATATGATGAACATCCAGGCACTTTCGCATGTACTGCACATATATAAACTATCTAAAATCATAATGTTATATAGTACATGGAACTGGTGGAATAATAATTACTCGTAATTTATTATTTGATTCCATTATCAACTCCTTTTAATATTAATGAAAATATTAATTTGATTGTTACAGTTATTTTTAATAAACTACAAGATTTTTTTACAATCTAAATGACAAAATATGTCACGCTCTTTTTAACAATTACGCCCCCAAAGGGAACCCGTTTACACAGTTCGATCGCGATGACAGCTCTGCAGCTACGACGACGCATTACGGATGCATATAAACTCACCTTTAGCTTACAAATCTCTGAATATGTGATTAATGTACTACTATTTTAGAAATCATTACAATAAAATAAACCGGATGTAATAAGTAGTAAGTGTTTCATAAATATTACAAAATTTCCTTTATAAGTATTTCAAATCGACTTACCTTCCCTGGTTGCAATTTTCCAACAACTAAAAGTTTCTGAAGGAATTCCACAGGCGTAGCTAATAAAAATTTCACATCGAAGTCTGTTAAATCATTGAACACTAACAACAATTCTGTGCCTAGATCTCCTGCAGGATAAGTGACGAGAGCAACAAAATGTCGCTCTTTCTTTGATAGCTTAAACTGACATTGATACATTTCTTCTGGAGTTGTCAAATTGGCAGTGAACATACTATCCATTAAGTACTTGAATTTGCCTTCCATGTCAACCAGCACCTTCTTATGATCCATATCGACTTCTGCTACCCCTCTAAGGTGTTTATCGTTGGTATAATAAAAAGAACTCAAAAAAGTGACCTTTTTTATGCCCTCGAATGGAGTTAGTGTCCTAACGGTTCCATTAATTTGTGACGAATTCTCGTTTGCTTGCAGTAACCATTGGCTCTCAATATCAATTACAAATTTTGGATTGTACTAAAAGAAGAGAGGACACATTTAGTCTGTCTTCGGAATATATAAGAGATCAACGCTTTACTATAAAAAAGCCGGGTGTTTTTGACGTTTACTTCGTATATAGATATTAATATATATTTGCACAAAGTTTTCTTGAACCATTTCTTAACTATAAATAATTCATCTTTTCTTGGGTTGAGGTTCGTTAAATAAAACGAATTTTAAACCCTTTTTTTGGGTTGAGGTTCGTTATTTAAAGAACCTCAACCCAATAAAAGATGAATTATTTAGTATATCTAGTATAACTAAAATATTTAAAAAAATTGTATTCAGAGAAAATGTTTAATAAATGAGAGGGTGAAAATGCTATCTCTGTTGGCTGTTTCCCTAATTTTATGACAGAATTATTATTTCATATCGGTACGAAACTCAACATATGTTTAAAAGTGTATTTGAAAAGCCATTAATGCTGATTTCAGCAAATCCGTTATATCTTTTTCATATCACTCGTATTTTTCAGCCCTTTGCTATAAATTTGTAAATATATAAAATTGCGTATACCTTTAAACTTACCATTAAATGTATATTTGTATTATATTTGCTTTCATTTTTTTCATGGAAGAACGTTGTATTGATATTTGGGATTCGATCCAATGTACTTTGCAAGGCACAGCTGTACTTATAATTAGTGTAATTTTGATATAAAATACGATCACCGAAGATATCAAAAACAATTTTTTGTCGGGGGTTCCAAGTTACAAGTCCATTCAAGCTATACTTTTTGTTTAAATGTTCAAACCTAAAATACCAAAAAAAAACACCATATTTTTAGCGAATATCTTATTTAATTACGAGAACATCAATCTTGACCCAAGGAAACAGAGAGCCTTGAAAAAGTGCTTGTAATTAAAAATGTGATAAATTAGCGTAATTTAATGCAACCTAAACTGAAATAACGCTAGTCTGAGAAAAATTAAATGAATGTTTAATGATGGTAAATTAAGGCTTTAAAATAAAACTACTTACGTGGCCATGAGGTTCATATTTTTCCAAGAATCTAGTGGAGTGTTAAGTCTGGAAGATATTTCGAAAAATATTTCGTTCTCGTATCTGTATATGACGTTTAAATTAACAGAAAGCGATTTGCCGTCATCCCATGAGACTGTGGCTAGCATATCTAAATGGCCCTCTAAAATTCGAACTCTAATTTATTTTGGTTTAAACAATCTATTGTATATAGATGATAAAATCCGTCTTGGTTTTCCTTGATTTATTTTAAAAATTATCATACAAGAATAACAATACTGTTAATATGTATATACAGGGTGTGAGTCTCAATTAAGTGCAAATATTTTCAGGGCTGGTATATATCCATAAAAGAAACATATATTTTCTCTTTACCGTTTTTTCAAATAAGTCCAAAATAACCGAGTTATTATTAGTGGTCATTTTACGCTTATTACTTTGAAAATTTCCAAAAAGTTAATACAGGGTGTAGAAGTTTAATTTTTATTTCGATTTTTTCCAAATAATTTCTGAATTAACCCCGATATTTGAAAGAAAATGGGTGTCCAGGTGTTTTTAGACCTTACAAATTCGGGTGCCACCTACATATTTTTAGCTGTTTTGAAAATTAATAACTTTTCGTCCTTACCTCTATTACACCTTCTGAGCTAAAAAATATATATTTCCGTCATTTTAATGTAAACAATGATTCTCAAGATATTTGAAATCAAAATAGTCAATACATGAAATAATAAATTTGAAATGTTTTTGTGCCAAAGATTCAACAGAAACTGTTTAATCGTATTTTTTTCTAGTAAAATTCATGATTCGCTTAAAAAAATAAGTTCCTACATTTATAATTGTAGTCAAACAAATCAACAAATCTAGTTAACATATTTGTTTTTTGTCAAAATGACATGTATTACCTATTTCCATTCCAAATATCTTGAAACCGGTTACTCGTTGCGATTTTTACCATTTGTTACATAAAAATTACGGAAATGTCTATTTTTTTAGTCAATAGTTTTATACAAGCACGCACTAAAAGTTATTACTCTTCGAAACAGTTAAAAAACATGTAGGTGGCGCTCCTTACAAGTAGAAGTTACAGTGGCTCTTGTTGAGAGCAATTCACTGTAGTAAAAGTCATATTGACATTGAAATCAAATTTCTCTTGTCAAAAAACACCAAGACACCAATTTTCATCCATATATCAACGTTAGTTCAGAAATTATTTGGAACAAACTGAAATATAAATGAAACTTCTACACCCTACATCTCTGAAACAAAGCAATTTAGAACATACATTTATATGAACTTTTTTACTTATTTTTATCTGTAGAAGTTTCCCAAATACAATTCGGACCACCCCGTATAACAATTTAAAGGGAATATATTTAAGTAAATATATTTAACATAATTTTTGACTGTTTCATTTGAATGCACCGCAGATATTTTTAATATATCTTATATAGTAGCTTGTTAGTGAGCACTATAATTATTTCTGAAAAATTAAAAGCGTAAAAATAATTATAAATACATAAATATAAAAAAATATATTTAATATTTAATTTCAATACAAAATTGGTTGTTTATTTTTTTTTAATTTTGCCTTTTCGTACAAATTAAAAAGAACTGTTTATAAGCTGCAAACATATTTTACGGAATATATAGTAAGCATGCGTCCCTTTTATGTGCATAATACTCTATATAACAGATAGGCTATCGTAATCCTCAAAGTTATGAAATTTGTTTATATTATTAAAATGGAATGTATTCGGATATACTGAAATAACCCCGATTTTTTTAATATCAAAATGCATATATATTATAAAGTTTAAAATTATTGATTTTCTTGTTTAGAGCGTAGGGAGATCAATTAAACTAGATATATTTTGAGTAATTAGTTACAAAATAGTATTTTACGATAAATGAACCAAAACAGTGTATACTAATATGTGACTACGAATTTGATGATATTTATTGAAATATCTTGTTCGATGACAATGAGATAAAATATCCCAAATAACGGTCATAATGCACAACAATTAATAAAACAATTTCTGCTTACTTTGTAGCAAAAACTGGTATTTTCCAATAATCGTGCGTCCCGGATAGCTAACAATCAAATCTGCGTTGTAATTGAAATCCGCTGCTTTGGTAAAATTGGCTGCAACCAAGAGTTTTTGATTGGGATCTCTATTAGAATCCCAATTGATATCAAAACCCATCGCTTTTTCCAATTCTTCATTAAAAATCCAAACTGAAAATTCTATATCTCGCAATCTAAAATTTCGAATAAAACCTGTACAGGGTGTCCAAATTTCGTGTGTTATGGGGTTTCTCTTTTATGAGTAGAGATACAAAAATGCGGTGTTTTCACATTACTGTACTACTTTTTTATAAAACTCAAGATCCTACGCACAGATTTGTCCCAGCCCCCTTGGTTTCTGAAATACAGGGAGAAATTGAAAATGATGCATTTTCCGACCCCCTTCGTATCTTGGTTATCTCATAACTTCTCAAAAGGGTGAAAACTGAGTCCCATAGAGTTTTTCAAGCTTATAATAAAACAAGTAAAATGAAAAAATAATATACAGGGTGTCCTGTTTAAAAAAAACATAAGTTTGAGTCATAATCCGAAAATGACAACTCCCAGTGAAAAACTGGTTACGCCACTGGATTCTACATAATAAGTCAACAGTACTCAGTTTTAATCTTTTCGATAAGTTATAGGATAACCGCGAGATACGAGGGCAGTCAAAAAATGCAACATTTTTGAAATTCCCTCTGTATTTCAAGAACTAAGAGGGCTATGACAAATCTGTGTGTAGCATTTTTAGTTTCATAAAAAAGTAGCACAGTGATGCAAAAATCGCATTTTTGTATCTCTAACAAACAATTTTTTTGAACAGCGGGAAGGTACAGCAATGGGTAATCCATTGTCTCCATTTTTGGCTAATTTATTCATAAGCAGGTTTGAAGTGGAGGCTAAGAATCAGTTTGAGTATTTTCCAAGAGTATGGTTTAGGTATGTGGATGATATTTTTGCTGTTATTGACACACATTCAGACACCATAGATAATTTTATTTCTAAGTTAAATAATCGTTTTTCTTCCATTAAATTTACGCATGAAATTGAGAACAACGACAGATTACCATTTCTAGATGTATTAGTTATTAGAAATACTAATAATTGCCTGGAATTTGATATCTATAGGAAAAATACGACCACGCGCAGATATATTCCTAATGAATCACATCATAGTGTTGAACATAAAATGGCTAGTTTAAATTTCTTAGTTTACAGATTACTTAGTTTCCCACTTTCCAACGAAAGATATGAAATAGAAAGAGATTACATTAGGAATGTAGCTGAGTGTAATGGATATTCTCCTTCACTAGTTGATAAATTAATTGGAAAACGTAGGTATAGGTTAATGATTTCTGAAAATTCGACTTTTCAAGTGGAGAAAGATACGTCTAAATATTTTTCGATACCGTTTGATAGAGAGTTATCCCGTGGTCTAAAAGGAATTTTTAAGAATGTCAATTATAAACTTGTGTATAGTGCTAATAATAAATTACAACAATTATTAGGTAATCCAAAAGATAAAACACCTCCACTGGAAAGGTCGGGTCATAAACGAGAAACCCCATAAAACACAAGAAAATGGTACACCCTGTATAGTACACGTTAGCATGGCCTGCATAAAACTATATCATGGTAGTTACGAGATTTTACTGTGTTATATATATAGAGAAGAAGTTAAATTTTGTGCGTGTCAAAAAAAGGTTAGATAATTATAAACATATTATTCTGTGTTCAAGTTTTTCCAAGCCGTTTTTAAACGAGACATCAGTACAAAATACATATGTGTACTGACCATCGCAAATTCAGAATAGGCTTGGTGCATTTCAGTTGATTTCAACAAATTCCGACCGCAGCGCTTCAACGGCAAAAATCAGAAATTATCAGTACATATTTCACGCCGCCGCGCCGTTATGTTGATCGCATTAAAATAATACTGCAATCTTGGTTTTGTCATAATATTTAAGTTTTAGTTTTTTGCTAGTGCAGTTATTGAGACTATAAAACACTATGGGGTACGAGGTTTGTGTGATGTAATGCTGTTTAGGGTAGAAAAAAATAAGTGAAAAAGAATTCGAACTAGGCGTCGCGTCGCGTCGTGTTGTGTTTTGACAATTCCAAATGTAAATAAAATTGCCGAAAAAAATCTTAACGCGTAAAGGAGAGCGTAATTAGGGCGTTTTTGGGCGCAATAATATTCAAAAATTCAACTTTCCCGGATATTCAACTCTCCCGAAACAACATTTTGTAGCTTCATAGTTTCTCCCACCGATTTGATCAAAAGCAAAAATGGATTCAAGCAGTTCGACGAAACAAGTGAGTAAACAAAGTGCTCGTTACATAATCAAAAAATTAAATAGACATATACTATGAGAGGATAAAATATAATTTGCAATATTTATTGTAGGTATACTTTTTAATTAACTAGCGATTAAATGTTTTATGAACATCTTCTAAAATTATAATTATGTACTTTTAAAAAATTTCGTCATAGCCGAAATAGCCCCAATTATTACCCACTAGCAAAACCGGTGATTAAAACTAATGCTCGCTACCGTAGTTGAAATCATCTAAAAAGTGTTTTTAACTGGAATAATAAATTATAATACAAGTTAGACCTTCTGAAGATATCAAAATATTTACTTTTTTTTATTCTTAGAATTTTCACAAATTATACTTCCTAACACTTTTAGAATAATTAAATAATAAATTTTTCGTATTCTTGCTACTTAAACCCGTGTATTTGTAAGTACTAGTTATTTACGACATTCTCCGATGGTGGCAGCAGCGGCTGAGAATGCACCAAGCCTATAGAATAATAAAGAGATAGTATAGATTGAAATTCTTTTTTTTTATTTTAAGGCTTTGTATAAAAATTAGAAGTATATATAATTTAATACAGCTTACTGATCAATATGGATTTCCGTAGTAATTTTATAATAGTCTCCGGTATCAACAATGCAATTTAATGTGTAGAGTTTCGTCTTATATTTCACTTTTATATTGGTTTGCATCTCCTCCTCTGACGTATTATTATGGTTTAAGAAAATTTGATAATCCTTTTCATCATAAATAGCCTGAAACAACATATATTTTAACACATTAAATATTATTAAGCATATTTTTATCAAATGTTGGAAAGGTCGTGATAGTTTTTCCAGGATTACGCTAAAGTAATAATTCGTGTTGAAAGGGTGACAGAGATATATGGGAGTTGAATCTTAAGGTAGGTAAGCAAACTAAACTTCTTGTCCGAGTTGGACTGCCATTCGCCACGTGTTCCTAATAATTAAAGTAGACATTTTCTCATTATTCTAGTTGTCTGTTCCTCCTGACAGAGGCTTACTGGTAAATCTGTTTCTGCCCTGCTGAAAATGCTGTTTGACTAGTTTAAGACTTGACTTTTATATTTTTTTAACTCATATGAAAAAAAGTCAATTGATGTGATGCAACCTTTTAACAAATGAGGGTCCAGGGGAAAAATATGATAAGCTCCATTTTAATAAATTTACAGGAGAGCACTGGACGGCTGGTGGTTATCAGGTTCTTTCCGTGTATTCTATATTTTACTAGGCATATATCATAGGATTTAACAACTTATTGTCTTGCAGAATTTATATATTTTGTAGGGACCAGTTAGATCTACCATAATATTGTAAAATCATAAAATTTAAAATTGGCTCTAGTTGTTCCTCTGGTCCCTTCAAATACAATCTAGTCCACTAAAAATATGTATGGAAAAGTAGTAATATCAATAGTAGTTAATTCGGTCTACTAAAAGGTAGACATATTCAATTTCTCTTAGTTTTGAAATGCTGTACAATAATTTTGTTGAAACGTTTCCAATAAAATATCTGTTTTACGTGTTAAGCTTCTTACTTTACATTTTCAAATATACAGGTTGTTAATTTGTTTATTACTCGCGGCAAGAGCTTTATAGTTGAAATATGGCAACCTCGGCCCGCTCGTCGGTAGACGACGCGACGGGACGAGTCGGCAGAATACCTGCTGAAGTGCATGCGTTCTCAATAGGCAGTGTTGCCATTCTGTTCCCCTATAAGTAACTGTCTAGTTAACAACCTGTATATTCATTCTGAAATTTAGCAGTAAGGTTAAGTGATATTTAAAAATAATTTTATTATAATTTCCTAATAGTATTAAAGTAAATAAAAAAATGTTCACTTACCCTTAAATCTAATTTAATTTCTTCATTATCCCTGTAAAATATTAAATCACTATTGATGTCTTTGAAGTTTGGAGATGTAATAAATAACTTTACATGATGGTTCGATGATGCAGAATTGCTCTTATCTTGATACGAGCCCACTGCGTGAGCACTGTGTCCACTGAACCAAGTCCCACGGACCTCAATCTATTTGAAATGTACAGTTGTGTTTAAAGAATATGAAATAAAATCTTGCATTATGACTTTCATTGACATTATACAAACATGATTTTGGCTGTTCGTCAGGACAATTGAAATGATGTACACTACATATTGGATTAAGACATTGAAAGACCAAAATAACTGATGACTAATGAAACATTTTTGTCTACTACTTTTAAACAATGCGTGTACAGGGTGTTCTTTTTTGATTAAAATCATACGGTATCTCCATTAATAGAGAAGATAGAAGAATGCGGTTCGCACAAATCTCTCTCACTTTTTTGGCAAACGAAGATGCTGTAAACAAAATTTTCCTAGCCCTGTTCGTTTCTGAGCTACAGGATCTTTGAAAATTTTGCAATTTAGGTCACCCCCCGTATCTCTGTTATTGGGAAAGGTATTGAGAAGGTAAAAACTGTTTCTTGAAGAACAATGGCGTTGTCTGTTTTTCTACGAAAAAAATATTTAAGATATGAATTTAAGTTATGTTTTCTCAAATAGAACAAACACCGTGTATAATAAAAATCGTATAATCCGGCTTGCTATGAGCTTCTCAAAAATATATAACACTATATTTATTTTTTCCATTTACTGCAATTACTATAAAATATTATTTTCTTATTAGTAGGCCGTGATAGATAATAAAAAATCAAAATGATATTTAGTGCCATGTTATACACATATTAAAATTTTATTTGGGGCTAAAATATTTTATTTTTAAACTGTTGTGAGCGGGAGCCCCATCGCATCGTGCTGAAAATATATTTCCCGTAAACTAGCTAAAGGAATATCGTCTAAAAGGTCCGGTAGATAGCGGTAGGATGTTAAGTTTCCCTGATATATAAAGAACTTATTAGTGTACTTTTAATAATTTTTTTGATTCTTTTATTATCAATCACGACTTATTAACAAAAATGGTCTTTTAATGAAATCTTTGAAATATTGCAGTAAACAGTGAAGATAAATATAGAATAATATATTTTTGATTAGCTCATGGCAAGCCAGATCATATGAAGAGCACACGGGAAAAACGACGAGTGTCCAAAAACGATAAATGTTCAGGAAAGTTTTTTTTAATTCAAATTAGGCATGGACTTTTGTCGTTTGTCCCATTTTTAAATGCCACCATTATAATTGTCCAATTTTTTATTAGCAAAAAATAGACTTATTATTTTTTCCCTGTGTTCTATTTAAGAAAACATAACTTTATTTCATATCTTGAAAAATATTATTTTCGTAGAATAGACAGGATTTCAACCAAAATCGGAAACCCTGTACACTAACAATTTTCTCGAATGGCTTACCCTGTAGTCTTTGCTTTGTTTTTCACTTATATCCAGTTTTATAACCATGGGAGTAAAATTTGGAACTGTAATATTAATATAAGCTTTAATTTCCTCCAATGTTGTTCGTGGATGTGACCAGAATACAGTAATAGCGACTTGCTTGTTATTTCCATAGTTTACAATACATTCGACGTTGAGGTCGGCGTTAATAGTTTCGAATAAAATCGTTCCTTTCATGTCTAAATTAGTTGATTTCCGACTAACAGTCGCAAGTGCTTTAATGGTGTGTTTGCTATCGGTAAATGCCTTATGGGAAAACATAAAATCGAATTTCAGGCTCTCAAAATCTAAGTTTGGATCATTTAAAGGTACGGGAAATTGAATTAGGGCTACTTTAAATTCCATGTGACTGCCGCTCTTCTGAAATACAATAAACGATTTAAAATTAGTGTCATTCGCGCCGTTTTTGTTCAAGATAAATGTGCTCGGAAGGATCGCTAAGAATTTCAATATTTACCATCCAGCTTAATTAGAACACTTCGAAATTTCTTAGAATGAAAAAACTTCAATAAATCAGTGAAATTGAAAAACTAGCATTTGCATGATCCTCTAATTCCATGTAAATATCAAGAGAGAAGTTGTTTTTTTAATTCCAAGCTGCTATTTTATCTGAATGAGATTCTTGAAAAACAAACAGCTAAATTAAGGGCTATGCGGGTATTAGTTCACTAAAAATAAGATGGCAGCCGTTCATAAGATGGCGTCGGTTCATATTGCATGTCATTAAAAAGTGGTGGGGGTGGCGTTAGCTGTAACAGGCTGTAATAGAGCAGTTAAAACTGACTTGTTATAACAGCCATCGCAGCGTCAGCCGGGACCGGTTAAAACCGATCTGTTATTATAGCTAACGCCACCCCCACTACTTTAAGCCTGACAGGCGATATGAACCGACGCCACCTTATGAAGGGCCGCCATCTTTACCCGCATAGCCCTTCTACTGACTACAAATTTAAAACTCGTTTGTTCGTTGTGATCTCGTACTCTCATGGCGCTTCTACTGAAGTCAATTACACGACCATCCTTAATAGATTCTAACTCTTATTATACTAAAATTAGATTACCTAATAATAATATATAATAAATAAATAATTTAAGATCGTACTACTAGACGCTATAGACTCTAAAATATAAATACGATCCGCAAGAGTAACAATATAGAATGTAGGAGATCTAGTTCGAACATTGAAATGTAGAATGTCGAATGTGTGAGAGAGCGGTTAATTACTGCGAGCTTACAGATGTACTGGTCCCCATTTTTGAGTTATAATTTATCATACAGTCTCCGGGTTTTGACAAAAGCCAGTATCTGAGACAGTTTTACAAAGGTTATTATATTCCCATCTCCGATTGATAGTCAAAAATTATTTAAAAAATTAATAAAACAACGCAGGGGTAATTATAAAATGAACAAGTCTACTGTATGTTGTCTGCTAAGTAGGATAGTAAATTCAGCGCCTCCCTTGTTTGACATTTACCTGAAATGTAACGTTCGTGTTGAAATTAAAATTCGGATAAGCTGTTGACTCAACATCACACGTTCCGATGTATCGATCAAGGGTTTTTCTCGATCGGTTTGCCAAGCTAAATTTGAAAGATACCCTCTCTTCTTTTGTACCAACGAATTTATAATCCAAGTGCAAATCAGTGCCAACAGACGATTCAGTTTTTGATATATAACCAAAAAGTTTGGATGCTAAACGTTTCGTGTTGAATTTTAAATCCACAGTGTATTGTGCTATATCCCTTTTGCTTATGAGGTCCACTGAGCCTAAAATTTTAACGTTGTAGTAAATACGAGTAAATAGTATAATGGGTTTTAGAATTATAACACATATATTCGCTTACAACAGGATAATGAAATATAGAATATACAGAAATAAGGGAATTAGTTTATAAAAGCAACTCTTGTTTATTATGAATTATGATGTATTAAAATTTTGATGTATTTTAAAGTTTTTTATATTGTGTTCTAATGGACCGATTTTGATGATCTTTTAGATTTAGACCTAGTAAATTGTGGTTCCGAAGCAGGCTTCTTGACATAGGGTTTGCTTCATTTAACCTTCTCCTTATATTCCGTTGATATACATCCTAGTTCCTTAGGCGGAATTCATTATAAATTTGAAAAAAAATCGATTGGGTGTTTCAAACTTTCACCAAAATAACATTTTGTGTTCCCTCGTATAATTGACAGATGGAAACTTTCATGTGTCATTTAGAAAGATATACTAAAAATTCGATTAATCTAGGTACAAATTGCTTAAAAGATCATCAAAATCGGCCCATTATAACACACACAAATATATAAAACTTTAAAATACATCAAAATTAAGGTGCCGGTTTTTCGTGCCGGGATGCTGTAAAATCGCTATCTAGAAATGACAGAATAAAATATTACTATAATAAAAAGGCTCAATTAAGAAAGTATTTTTTATATAGTCAAACTGATGCTATATTAATTTTAGTTTATGGAAAATTAGTTCGTCGACATGAATATGCATTTATCATTATAAACTAATTCAATGCCAAAAATTGTTAAAGTTATTTCCAAATAACCTATACAAATCCTTTTGAGATAGGCCTAACAAAGGTAATAAATGTATACGAAATACCCAAGTGAAATTAAAGGATTTAACTAAAAGTCATTAGCGAATTTTGGGATATAGCTTAATCAATTTGTGAGAAAATTGTGTGCACACTTGTAAACGAATCTAAATCCCTAGTTACATAGGTCTATATATCATATAACGGGTTGGAAAGTTACAGAGTTATGGGCCCTTTTGCACGTAATTGATTGTTGTCAGAAGTTTAATCAAATTTTCTTGCTTGTCTGCACCAATGTAATTACTATCTCGATGTCGATATGAACACACACTATAGAAAATCAATTTTTACGCTAAATACTAAACGATCAAATTATTCTCTGAATGTATAAATCTGTTCATGTGGTTAAATGAAAGCTCTATTATCGGATTATAACTTTACGCTATAGAGGGTGCTCTAGTTTTAAATGGTACGCAGGAGGCTTGATTTTTAGTGAAAGTGAAGCTACCTATAAGCTGTATTAAAATAAAAATCAGTCCTTAGTCTCCAGTATACATGGCGATTTTCGAACTTGAAATACATTCTAATTCTTGAAAGGAGTAAGTTTTTTGTGATTTACCTTGAAGCTCCATTACGCTCTCCTCATTTACCCTTAGGAATATTTTTGGTTTATATGTGTATCCATTGGCTTTGTTAATTCTTTCATAAGCAACGCCTGTTTCCAAGTGTTTCATGTTGTTTATGTCCAGTGTCATCTACAAACAAATCAATTACTAATAATGGTAAATAACATCGGAATAATTTAGTACTTGTAAGTATTTCTCTTCCTCTGTATTTTTCATTCTACCTTTTGCTAGAATAATTCCCGAAGAGGATTCCATTAGCATTGTCAAATTGTGAGTTGTCCTATCAATGGTAATATTCGCATGTATGAGTCTCTTAACTGCCGACTCTGGAGTATCAAAAGTAAAGGACACCACGCGAGTACCGTGTCCTTCAACAGATTTGTATTCGAATAAATAAATGTTAGCTGTAGGGTCAGACTTTTCCAGATAAATCTGGAAGTTAGCTGGTCCAGATAACACATAGTATGGAGCTCGTAACAGATTAGTTGAGTTTTGATAAGTATAATCTAAACATAATTTTAATCCAATTGCGTTGGACACTGCAGACCAAGAGCACACCGAGTTTGAAACGGTCTTCTTTGATAGTCCGGTTTGAGGGATTTCAAGGTCATTTTGTTTGACAAAAACTTCGGACCTAAAATCAGGATTAAGGAATTTTAGAAAAAAAAATGGTTGTTTTTTTGGTTGCTAAATTGCTACGTTTGGCAGGAATATGACATGAATATTATTTTATTAATTTCTAAAGCATTAATGCCACTGATACAAAATAATTTTTATTTCTTTTTATAATTTTTTTTATAAGTTTTATAAAAAAATGTGGTTGACTTTGACTACCAAAACCTGGATAACAATAATAGAAAATAAAATGAAAATTCAGAATGAAATTATCCAGCCGAGGACCAATATTTTATTAAATCGCCGGTATATAAAATTTAAAATAAATATGATTTAATTCTAGCAAAACAATGGCTTTGATTAATTCGATTCGCTTTAAAAATAAATAAACTGGTTCGGTGCGAAAATATTACTTAACGGTTTAGAGCGACAATCAGTTCAATTTGGAATATTACTTTTATCATTACCCCATGGGATTGTATATATTTGATGGCTTTAAATGCATTTTATAATTTATGCGAAAGTTTTGCCTGCATTTTCTTCATTATGTATTGTAATCTATCAAAATAGCCTATATTGTCGTGTTCTGCGACTTTTAATTAGTAAATAACATTAGGTTTTTCATCAAAATCGTTGCCCTAGACAAAATTTCATTAGTATTTTTTCTCTATTATCAAGGCCCTTAGAAGAATATTAAATATAGTCCCAAAATTATAAAAATTACAATATTTGTAGAAAATTTTACATAGATTTAGATAATATAATGGTTTAACAGCTTAAATATTTTAGTTATGTAAAAAACTGGATTTTTAGAGAACTCAAACGATTTTTCATAGTAGTTGAAACGTTACCCATACTGAACTCGTATAAAATAACGCCCCTAAAATAACCTACATTTTCATGTTCTCTACGCGTTTTAGTTAGTTAATAATAGTAATAATAAGTTTTATCAAAAATCGGTGACCTGACCAAAATCGACAAATTTCACTAGAATATGCATGGAAAAAAGTCATCAAATTGCCCATTTTTGGTTATTTTTTACAGGTTTTCAAGACTCTTAAAAGAATAGAAAACATCATCCTAAAGTTATTAAAAGTAATTGTGAGAAGAACTTTTATATAGATTTAGAATATATAATGGTCTAATAGCTGAAATTGTTAGGTTTTGTAAGAAAGCCTTGTTTTCATGGCAGCTAAAATGTTATCTACAAATGTAATGAACTCGTAAGGCTAAAATGGTCTACATTCTCGTGTTCTACGCCTTTTAGTTAGTAAGTAATAGTATCTCATATAAGATATTTACACAATGCACCTTATATATACATATATTTATTTAAACGAACCTTGCTCCAAATATTTTCGCGTTCTTCTTTGGCAAACTGAATTTAACGCTGACCAATCGAGTGCCTCTTATTTTCACGTCTCCTTTGAGAGCAATAGATGATTGCATGTTGGTCTTTAATTTGATTCCAGTAGTGGCATAAAAGCTATTTAAGGACATTTCGGCGGAAATGTCTACTGATGCTGTCGGTTCGAAATTTGCCACTAGGTCGAGCTCTTTGTGTTTGGAGAAGTCGGAAGCTTTTAATGAACCGAATAGCTTTATGTTGACTGCTCCAGTACCGATAGCCGATAAGTACAGTGGCAACCCAGCTCCTGTTGCTAATATGTAATTGCTGTCCAGGAACATCGACGATTTTTTATAATTAATTTCCTACAAAAATAATATCAATTCCCAAAAAATAAATTAATAAATATTTATCCCAATATATATTAGCGTATTATTCAATTTTCACGTATTACGATTACCACAGTAATACTGTCAGTATATTTTATTAATTAAGTCTTACCTTTCCAGATAAAATATGCTTTAAATGATGAAAAAAGTTGAAGGTTTGAAGACCTTGATGAATTTCATGCATTCCATTGAAAGCGGCATATTTTATATCATTTCCAAACACCCGAATTCCAAATGCAACCTACAAAATATTATAATCAGTAGTGTCAGCGAGGTCTGTCAATACGCTCAGTACAATAAGATGTACTGAACAAAGAAAGAAGGGCACGTATTTTTCCAAGTACATGATAAAATATAGACTCAGATTAAGTGACATTCTTCTGTCTCCGACTTACAATATGTATGTAAGTACCGACCCAAGACTATATATTATATCTTAATCTTAGTTAGTCTTATAGAAAAGCAATTGAAATTACGCCCGTACAATTTTTTAGGTACATACGATAGTTTTTTTTTTCATTTTTTGTTATAAATCAAAAACTATACATCATCAAAATAATTAACAACCTGTTTAAGCTGGCGCTAATGAAGCCTTTTCATACGATACCCCACATGACACGGTTAACTCGATATAAGAAATAAAGTATTACTCATGAGTAAAGAGCCACTGAGAAGTTTTTGATTTGATTGAACTTTGAAGTTTTTGCTTCGATAAGAATAATTTTAACTTACTCGAGGATCCGATTTGACATTATTAACACTATCGGCAATCTCTTGTACTTTGCTTTCAACCAAACTATTCTCGTCAGGTTGCCTGGTAAACCTTAATTTGTATTCTTCCATTTTCTCCTTGATTACGTTGGCCTTTCCTTTAGGCCCAATGAACGACTCCAAATACTGTTCGAAACCTTCCATTCTTCCATGAACCTTTAAATCATAAAGAACAGCGTAAAAATCCCGTGCTAATTTTTATAATGTATTACCTCAAATAAGTTGACAGATTTTTCAAATAAATCAACTGTAAGATTTAACATGCCCGTCCTCGGTATGTAGGATGACGGTGAAAAAATAATATTATTTTCATAGTTTCCACCTGTAAAATACAAAAGCAAATGTAACATTTTTGAACCAAAATACTTTATTACAGTTAAAGCATTAAAGTTAAACGTATTTGGTTACTTTAGACTTATTTTTTAATGGCATTTACAGAGTATAGAATCCTGTAAGTACAGTAACGGAAGATTTTTTTTAATTTTTCCTTTTTATCGACCAACGACTAGATTAATAAAATTTATTTGGGCAAATATTTTATTTTTGTAATAAATTGTGATAAGGGCTCTACCGAATTTATGCTTCTCTCTTTTTTTTTAATCGAAACATACTATGAAAATTTTAATTAAAAAATTCTTGGCCATTGTCACGTCAAGCTGAAATATGTTTTTTTCTTATTCTTTTTCAAGTCCTTTTATTAGAGACGTTCACCTTGGCACGGTTACTTCTAGTCTACTAATAAGAATGTAGGCTTTTTATCCTAATACTTACCAATATTGTACTCGTCGAAATATAAAGACCCTTCTCTATTATGTGAAAATCTTCGGATGTCCGTGTTGAACTTTTTAACTAGATCCGGCTCTGATAATAGACTCTGAACTTCTACTTTTAACGGGTTGGCTGATTTTATAATGTTGTTAAGGTGGGACCATACAAATGCACCAACTGGAATATATAACAGATTAAATGAAGTTGAAAATCAGATTTCTTCAGTTAAAATTAAATCAGATATCTCATTCGGTACTCATTTACACTAGTTAATTTCTCACTGATCTATTAAGGTATTTCTTTAAAAATATTGTTTTCTTATAGCATGATTGAAAACAAACAAAAACAAGAGAGATTTCCAATCTAGTATGTAATTTCTTTAAACCGACTTATAAATTGCTACTATCTCGTAAAGGCTTGCAAATTTAGCAAGCAGTAGATTTAAGCAAAATTGCTAACATATCTCCGGGGCAAACTCTAAAATAAATGTATTTGTATGCAGATTTCAGCATGATTTTACTTTCTTCAAGCTTCAAGGAATAATAAAATAGTGCAGCTTTTCTTTTACCTGGAACTAGATTATTAAAACTAAAATTTTCCTTGTAGAAAACGCTACAGTTTTTCGTTTTTTTTTTAATAAAACTAAATCGAATATACAGGGTACGGCAATAGTGCGTCAGGCATCTGTAGCTCCTCACATAAAAAACCTTGGAATTTTGTTTAAGTGCAAACCTAAAGTATGTGTTAGGATCTATTTCAGGAAAATAATTTGAGCTCTTCAGGGTGGCTCAAGAAAGTGTGACTGGATAGGGATGATTTTTTTAAGTAGAATACACTGTATATTATTGCATTTTTGGCTTCCTTTCTGATGACCTTACATAGTCATAAGATATTTTTAGATATGTTTTAATAGTTTTAGAGATATCAATAAATAAATAAAAAAAATATTTTTTTCAGCCCTTTTTAAGGTCTGTACTTACTTTGCTATAAATATCATAATCTTAAATCATACATTATTTTTTTAATAGATGGAGAATTAAAAACTGAACATATTTTGTATTTAGAGTATTTCAAAATTTTTAACGGCTTCGGAGATACTTGCTGTATTATTTCATATGGCTCTTTCAACGGTAAAATATGAGAGAAAAATTATTGGGTGACTTTGATAAAAATTTACTGTGGAAAATGCCATATGAAATATGAAACCGCAAATATCTGTAAAACCATTAAATTTTTTGAAATATACTAAATGCAGAAAATGTTTATTTTTTAATTCTCTATCTATTGAAAAAATAATATACAGGGTGTTCCATTTAAAAAAATCAAGAAAATTTATTTTAGATTTTACAAAGTTTGGCGTAGAATTTTGAACCTTGTATAAGTCAGGAGAAATCATCTAAAGTAAATTCCTAATATAGTTTTGATTTCAGGACCAATTCTTGTATTTTTAATATTTTTTTTAGATAGGCTGAAAACATATATTTTTTATTTATTTATTAATGTGTCTGGAACTATCGAAATATACTTACTCATATCTTAGGATTATGTAAAGTGATCTTAAAGGAAGCCAAAAATGCAATAATATACAGGGTATTCCATTAAAAAAAAATCCCGATCCACTCGCACTTTTTTGAGCCACCCTAGAAATAGAAGTTATAATATTTTCCGAAATACGTCCTGAAACATACTGTCAAGGTCAAGGTGTATTACTGGTTGCATAACTGCATTACTGCTACATAACCGCAACGTGCATTGAGGAACCTGGCGAATTCGCCAGAAAGTAAAAGAAAATTACAGAATTCTTTAGAAAATTCCAGAAATAATCGCCAGGGGGAATATAAGGCCCGCGCTTGGACAGTTGGACCAGTCTGAAGTTTAATAATGCCGCGCTTTAAATTGTGAAATATCGTTAGAGTAATAGTAGTTGCATAAATTGTGTTTTAAATAGTATAAGTTGTGTGTACAGAGTGAGACAAATAAATTCGTTAAGTATTTTATCGTGAGTTTAAATAGTGGACCCACGGAATCCGTAACAATACTTTAGGTTTGCACTTAAACAAAATTCCTAAGTTTTTTATTCTAGAAGCTACAGATGCCCGAACACTACTGCCGGACCCTGTATAAAACTATACTTAGTTTACGTTTTCCTTTGCTTCAAAATGTTTAATGTATGTTCTGACTGCTTGTTAACACATAGTTAAAATAAAATTAAAAGTGGTGATTTTTGAATAGTCCATAATCTCTAATGGACGCTTTGAATGTATATGATTTCCGACTCTTTTTTGATTACTTTTTTTAATAGTAAATACCGGTAGAGAAAATAGTTAATAATCACCTTGATTAATTTCCTCGTACTTTAGATTAGATGCAATATCTCTGAGCATCATGTAACTGGGACACCTCATCACCTGAAGATATGCAGCTATCCGAACTTCGCTATCTTGATCCAGGTCCTTAAATATACTTTCGAAATAACTTCTGCTTTTCTCGCAAGGTAGACGTCTGAAAGTTTCAACAGCCGCAATTCTTATAGCCACATCTAGATTAGGGTCCTCCACGAGTTTAAAAAGTTTTTCTTCAAAATATTCGGATATCAGCCCGATGCTAGATAACGCCTTCAGTGTCACTATTATCTAAGAAGCATAAAACATTCGTTTTTGATAAAATCGAACTTAATTTTTCAAATTATCATTTTAAACCAAATTAATTATTGCTGTTCAGTACAAACTGAATTTTCATATCGATTTGCGTACCTCTCTAAGTTTTAGACTAAGAGCTGGCTGGACATAAAAAACCTTATCATCGTTACATGGCTAATTTTTTGTGTGAAGTATCCTTTTGTGTGGCCATTATGAAATAGTCATGTCTGCCAGCGCGATCCCGGGGCTTAAAGCGGGGGCAGCCAATCGAAAGGGTGAAATTTTGATACTAAAAATATTATAAAGTACACAAGTTATAATTGCGAAAATAGCTTTGATTTATTATTAAGAAACGTGGAAAATTGTTGGCAGACATTTTTCTAGTCGCTAAAATGCCGACAGACAACGCGAAAGAGGCATGAAATTTTAAAATTATTAAAAAATGAAGTGTGAAGAATGAAAAAAATATGGCATACGTGCATGCCGATTGGTGGAATAACATATTTATTTATTTTAAAAGCCGTATGCAAAAGGGCAGACAAAATCAGCTGTGGCTAAATCAGCTGTAAACAGTTATCAAAAGCGCGATATTACTCTAGCGCTTTCAGGGAACGTTCGCCTTTTAGCGCTTTTAGGGCTTTTCCTAGGGCTTTCAGGGAACGTTCACATCCATTTAAGTATAGATAAATCATGTATACCATTAAATTATAAATATATTTTTTTATTATTTCAAAACAGATATCATACATTTACTATTCTGTCTCACTATTTGTATCCGACTCATCGTATTGCAGATCCTCGCCCTCTCAAACGAGTCTTCCTCTTAGTCGATATCTGCACCGTAAAATTTTTGTAGACTTACAGGTATTATGTTTCAATTGTTAAGGCGGCCAGCGTTTCCTGAAAACGCTTATACCGGGTGAGTCTTAAATAAGTGAAAATACTTTTAAGGATGATATAATATTTCGATCTCAGGAACACGTCTATGTGTTTTTTTTCGCAAAAAAAAGATGTAGAAAATCGTGCGTTATTTTTAAATTTTCCTGTATATTTTAGAAAACTTTATAGAACTGCCTGTTCACCGCAAATTTACCCACGGTATAATTATTTCTTAACCTACCATGCTTACGGCTTTACTCTATGGCTACGACACTAAAAGAATGGATGCAAGTACAGAAAAAAAAACAGGTGGCTCACAAAATTCTTTAAAACTAAATCAATTTCTGTTTAACTTTTCAAACTTGAATAACTCGGTTATTTTGGACTTATTTGGAAAACGATAAAAAGAAAATATGTTTCTTTTATCGAGATCTATCAGCTCTGAAAATATTTGCACTTATTTAAAATTCACCCTGTAGAGTAATATCGCGTTTTTTATAACTGTCTTCCGCTGATTGAGCCACAATTTTTTATCTGTCTTTTTGCATACGGTTTTTTAAATAAATAAACATGTCTTTCATTTTTTTTAATAAATAAACTAACTCTTTCGCGTTGTCTGCCGGCGTTTTAGCCACGAGAAAAATGTCTGTCAACAGTTTTACATCTTTCTTAATAATAAATAAAAGCTATTTGGCAATTATAATTCGTGTAGGTACCTTATAATATTTTTAGTGTCAAAATTTCACACTAACGATTGGCTGCCCCCGCTTTAAGCCCCGGGATCGCGCTGGCAGACATGACTATTTCACAATGGCTACACAAAAGGATACTTCACAAGAAAAATTAGCCATGTAACGATGATAAGGTTTTTTATGTAGCCAGCTCTCCGACTATTTATGTAAGGTGTAATTTCCCATTCGACAATGGAATATATAATTTAAAACATTTCTAAGCTCTTGTATCTCTACATTAAAGTTCTACCTTCAAACTTACATTATCGCGACTATCTTTCTCGTTGCTAACTTCAATCAGATTCAGCAAATAATTTTCGAAATGTTCCACTATAGAGCGCACCGTTTCGCTATTTCCACAATCGGAATGCAGGTTGCAGAATGTGTGAGTTAGCGACGCCACACTTAGAGCAACGGTTCTGGAAAATTGTTTTTCCTTTAGAATTATTAGAGACGATTCCATCATATCCTCGTTCGGGTTCCTTATAAATGCAAGCGACAACATCCAATCGTTTACAGTACTTTCAGGCACAGTTCCAGCTATAATGATGTCTTTTATCAGTGACACTGACCCAGCGGTGTTTACATAAGGCAGTGCATCTAATATATGTTTCCTGAAAAACAAATATAATACAAATTTCAGCTTCTAAAATTTGTCACTAAATAGAGGTGGTTTTGCAATGCACATTAAACATCTTTGATAAGATTTATAATTTCATTAATACATACATTATTTCTATGTTTATTTAATAACATAGTATTTATTTATAGATATTTCACCTATATAAGTCGGAAGTAATCGATAGTCGTTAATATTAGAGTAAACTAACTATATTAAATTTTCATCTAATAAACATACCATGTGTCGGCATTATACACAAAATTTGTTTGCAATTAAATTATGCTGTAATAAATCATCGTTTATGCTAGTAAATTGAATTTAAAAATCACTTATTTTGGTATTTCTTTCGCAAATAATCTAGAGGTAGTTACCAAATTACCGTATATTAAAAAAAAACTGAGATTCGATAATACAATCATAAAGTTTACCAGGACGGATTATTTTTATTTATTTCTTAAATCTATAGAGCCAAAATAAATGTTGACATTTAGAGACAAACCATATTTTTGATTGAGTTTCGCTTTGCAAAGGGACGGTGACCATATTTTCTGTCCCCTTTATTTTGTCAGTCCCTTTTCACATGTTTTCTCTTTCCCTCTTTACGGGGGTAGTTAAGCCTAATGGACCAAAATACTATTATTTTATAGGGATTTTGCACCGCATAACTCTTACAAGGATGAAAATATAGAACAAGAAATAAAAATACCTCAGGGGGATCATTTCCATTATCGAAATTGTTTGTAAAAGATTTTAAAAAGGAATTAAATGAAAAATATAAAAATCTTTCATTGTTAGAATTTGTTTTTCTCGGAGTAACATTAATTTAGATTAATATTATGAGATCCCATTCGTCATTTCTTATATAGGGTGAGACTTAAATAAGTGCAAACATTTTCAGGGCTGGTAGATCTCGATAAAAGAAACATATTTTATCTCTTCCATTTTTCAGATAAGTCCAAAATAACCGAGTTATTTAAGTTGGTAGATTAAAAAAAAATTGATATTTTTTTGAAAAAATTTTGAGAGCCACCGGATTTTTTCTGTATTTGCATCCCTTTTAGTGCCGTAACCATGGAGTAAAGCCGTATCTATGGTAATATCAGAGATTAAGAAATTATACCGTAGGAAAATTTGCGGTGAACGGGTAGTTCTAATAAGTTTTCGAAAAATATACAGGGAAATTTAAAAGAAAATGCACGATTTTCAACATCTTTTTTTTGCGAAAAAAAATTCATAGACGTGTTTCTGGGATCAAAATATTTTCAGGGCTGGTAGATCTCGATAAAAGAAAAAAAATCGCTTTACCGTTTCAGATTCCAAAATAACCGAGATATTTAACTTTGAAAATTTCAAACAAAAAATGATTTTTCGCTTAAATTTTAAAAACCTCTGGATCTTTTCTAGATTTTCTTTCTTGTAAATCTAATCTACTACATATCGTTTCTGGGACCGAATATACTACCCCTAAAAATACTTGCACTTATTTTTTTACAAGGACCACCCTGTATAACACAATAACTAGAAAATATAGGTAACATTCAACAGAATAGATAATAACCAAAGTCCTATACCTAAGAATTGTAATTATTGCATTTTGATAGTGTAATTATTATTAACAAATGGTATGTGTTCGGTGCAAAGAAAAAATAACCTGCAGTAAAGAAGTCGTATAATTTTGAAGCGTTGAGATGTTGCTCTTTAGATTTATTCCCGGGCCTTGATTATCCACTATTCTTTACACTGTTTCTTTCTCCTCAGTCATCATTTATACCCTTCATATAAGGTAAACGGTTTCGTAAGCTCAATACTTTGAAATATATATAGACAGAAACATGCTTTTTATGACTAAAAATAGCTATTGTGAGAGCCTGATATAAAGGTTATTAAATGTACAGATCACTGAGTCTGGTGTGAAGAATAAATATATGTAGGTATAGCGTATTTATGTTATGTCAACCTACACTGTTTCTTGAACTAATCTCAGGTAATACAGGAATGAATATTTTATTAAAAAAAACCCAATCCTCTCGTCTTAAATTAAAACCGCTCGGCTTGTATATTATCTTAAAATAATAATTTAATAAGCTTTATTCCTCCTTAAATTTTACCACTTTTTTTAGCTTATTGGATCTGTTATTTTTTAAGGGCCATGCTCCAGCTACCTGGACCCTTAGATCACCGAAGTTAAGCGATATTAGACGGCGTGAGTGGATGGACGGGTGATGTCTGGAAACTCTGTCGTGCTGTTGTTACCATGGAAAAAGTTTAAAATTTATTGACTTCGACACTTGCCAAGTCGGTAGGTCATTCAAAAACACCTCACTGTAGTATTGAGCAATAAAAAGGATTTGAAGAGAGAGACGTTTGCTCAGCAGGTAAAAGACCATACCCATAACATGGTATACTGATGCTTCTAAAATCAAAGGAACGAAAACTAAATACTTCGAACCAATAGGCATCTTAGATAGAAATTACTTATTTTAGATAGAAATTATCGGAAACTAGTCTATGCTGGGACCACACCGCAGTGATTAGACTTTTAACTACCTATAAAAATCACAAATTAGGCAAAGAAAATCAAATCCTCCTTCTCTGAGTGTAAGCCCACCAAGGGATAAAATGCAATGAAAAAGCAAACGATCTATCTAGAAAAGGAGCGAATTCCGTTTTAAAGTCCAAGCGGAACTCAAAAATCTGGAAGACTCCATCCGTAACCTGGAATGGGAATCCTCCAACGGTCTAAAACAGTCGGAGAAATTTATCAACCTCACGACCGAGGAAAAACAAATATTTTCCTTTGATTTAAGGAAGAACATGGGATTGTCACTGAGTTTTTAACAGGATACTGTCTACTCAACGAACACCTCAGTAGATTGAAGCTAAGAAACCACGGCGAATGCAGATTCTGTGGGGAAAATGGGGAAACACCAGAACACCTAATCACTGAGTGCGCTGAGACGACAACTATTCGTGCCATAAACTTTGGAAGGACTGATATTAAAGATAGAAAACTAACCTCTGTAATATCATCTTAGATACTGGTTTTCTCAAAATCCTGAGACGGTATGATGAGTTATAACTCGTTATATTGGTAAGGTGTAAAATTGGAAAGAGGGAAGTCGCGGAATGCCGATACTGTGCTGAATCCAATGATACTCCAGAACACACAATGTTTGCTTGTCCAAGATGGGAACAGGAAAGATGTGAGGCACGCATAACGATTGGTGGCAACATCTCCGCAGATACCTTCTTAAAATCGGTAACAGAAAGAAGAGAAAATTTTGAAGCCATCTCAAAACTGGCCCAAAATATACTAGAGGCAAAATACAGCGAAGAGCAGGGGTAATGACAAAAAAGAAACAGTCCGGCGTCTACTTGAGGAGATGCGTCCAGCGGGTCCAGGTAGACGTGGCAGGAGCGAGGGGGTGACGTTTAGTGGGTAGTGTCCTCCAGGCAGCTTAAGAAGAGATTGAGTCCCACACTCCGTACGTAAAGGTATTTTACACCTCCAAAAAAAAACTCGTTATATACATTCTAGGGCATTGACAATGATATGGTCGGGGACCGCGGTTCGGATTCCAGATTAGGCTTAGCAGCAAAAAGGAGACGTTAACTCAAATACTTTTACCTTTTGCTTTATCATTTTTTTAATATTTTAATTTGTTTGCTAGGATTTGCGAAACAATAACACTGTAGGCAATTTAAAACAAACTTACTTGGCATTTGAACAAGTCATCTTGCTATGAGCGTAAAAACTAGATAAGGCAGGATAAGCTAAACTTCTTAAGCCATAAATGAACTTTCCGAACAAATCTGAAAAACCGCCCTCAGAATCCTCTGGACTTTCCTTGCATAATTGCTTTATTAAATTCCTCGTTGTTTTCAAATCTCCATTTGTCGGTTGCTTAGGCATTGAATAGTCGAATTTTAAATTCGTTCTCTTTAATATCTCATTTTGTTCGTTTTTTTGCTCGCCCTCTTCTCTTAAAACCAATTTTTGGATGACTGTCGTGCTGGCACCTGCGGCGTTATTAGAGAAGGGCTCAATAATAAAAATTTCCTCGCAATTTATTTCGTTATAGATACTGTGGTCGATCGAAACGATGCAACGGCTTGACGATTTCACGATGTCTTCCCTTCTTGTTCTCTATAAACAGAAATTGTATCAGTATAATGTCAACAATTTATAACTTAATATAAAGGTGGATCAAATTAAAACAGAAGTTTTTATTTAGTATTTTTATACCGTATGATCGAAAAAAAACGGCGTCCATTTGGCTTGAAAATGACGATCGATGATATTTCCCATATAATTTTACATTTAAAATGACAGCGATTTGAACGAACGCCGTTTTTATCCGATCATACGGTACATTCGTATGCAAAAAAAAACGCAACGGTCAAATTTAAAGTGCTATATTCTTTTTATTTTCAGTCCTATTTCCATGATTTTAAGCAAAATGCATATAAATATATCCATTTTAATTAGAAAACTCAGTTTTATTTTAAACTTTTATATTTGGCTTATTATACAGAGGGTTAATAAAAGGGTTCTTTTTTACAAGAATTTTAAAACACCCTGTGCAATAATTTCTTGAGTAAATTATCCAAACCAAAACATTATTTTTCGGTTGGAATGACTCCTCAGTATTTTTTGGCTCATATCAACATATCCGTTGATTAATTTTTAAGAGCGAAATGAACTTACCACCAACAATTTGCAATTTTTTCAATTATCATGACATTTAATGTTATTTTTTAATATGATGTTTTTTATACCTACGATTTGTTGAACTGTATATCATTAAATCGTTACATTCTCGCCTAGCTCTCGCACAGCTGTTAAATGGCGGTTCCGCAAAGAGTTGATTCTGATACATTGATCGTCTAGAGCGGTAGTTTTACGCTTCCTACCACTACCCGATTTACACTTATTTCGGGCCTTGTCTTACGCTTCGTCCTACGTGGGCGACAAAAGCAATCGGGCGACGCGTGCGAGAACAGTGGGTGATGAACGCGACTCGCGCGACATATTTCAATCGCCTCCAATGCCGCTTCAGTCGCGCGAGATCGCGCGCGTCTCTTACATAGGACAGCTTCGTAACAAACCGTTGTTTCATAAATACGTGTCGCTCGCATCGCCCGAATCGCGCGCTTTTGTCTCCCACGTAGGACGAAGCGTTAAATGTTCCACTACTTTTGATTGTAGAGCGATGAGCGCGTAGTATGTATTATTCTAGCTACATATTCAAGAGTAACGGATTTTGCACAATCTTCAACTCTAAAACTTCAATTGTAGGTTCACAAAAAAACTTCAATCGTAGGTACTCAAAATGTAAATGTCAATATAGTACGATAGTATTCACTAAAGCCACCTCGTCATATTAAAAAATATCAAAAATTAATGATAAGTGAACAGATTGGAAATTGTGACAAGTTCATTTCGCTCCTAAAAATTAACCAAAGTATGTGTTGATATGAGCCAAAAAACAAAATGCTCAGAGGTCATGGTTCTGACCGAAAAATACGGTTTCAGGAAAATGTACTCACAAAATTATTGCATAGGGCGAGAGAGTTTTAAAGTTAAAGTAAAAAATAACCCCGTATAAAAAGCCAAATATAAGACTTTAATTTTGACGATTTTGTTTCCGTTGCGTTTTTTTACATTTGAATATAGTTAGATTAATTTAATTTGTTTTTATATTTCCTTCTAATTACACTTTTTGTTCTGTATTTACTGCATTTCGTTTAGGTATTCGGTATCACTAGTATCAGTAAGGTAAGAACCAACAGCTTTCTTCAACATTATAATCTCAGCATTTAACAAAATATGATTGTGAATTTATCAATTTTATTTTGCAATATCATCGTTATTAGAAATATTTACCATGATTTTGATGTGATAAATATATTTTATGCCTAAGCATGAAAATGAAATTTGTAATTGACTTTTTATTATCTGTGTTGCTTGCGTAAAATGATGTTATTTATTTTTAGTGTAGGCATGAGGTTATGTTTAATTCTAAACAACAGAATATATGTTTAACTAATACAACATTAAATTTAACGAACAGATACATTTTATTTTTGTACAAATAGGCTTTTTTAGTTTAATTCGATTTGATAGAAATAAAATTATGGATCTAGTTGAAAACCGTTACTTTCAAGTTTGTTTAACTTATTTAAATATTTGACTCATTGGTAATGGTATATGTATACATATTCGTGAAAGCCTCACAAACAAATATGACCCATTTTAAATAGGTTACCATAGTAAAACATTCAAAATACGCTCGATGTATGTGAAAATGTGCAATTTTAATTAAATTAAAACTGCTTTTCAATTAATTAACGTATTTTAGATGTAAAATAATACTACAGCCCGTCATATTTAAATATTCATCAAAACAGTTTCAATTATTGCCAATCGAATTTAAAACATTTCCAGTTTTATTATGTTAAAAACTGTATAATATTACTTTGAACATTTGTTTATAAAAAGCTCCAAAATAGACTGAAAATTTCAAATGACCTTTTCTAGGCAATAGGTATTTCAAATATCTAGAAAAGTATCATATCAATGTCTTAAAATGGCGATAATGTAATGGAATTTTTTTCTAAATACTACAGTACGATCGAAAAAAAAACGGCGATCATTTTGCTTAGAAATGACGATTGATTACATTCCCCATATAATTTTACATATAAAATGACAGTTATCTTCATTTCATAGCCATCACTGACGTTTTTTTTTTCGATCATACGGTAGTATTCTATTAATATATAGCCTTTGTATGTTAGCTATTCTGTATATATTATTGGGTATTTGAAGGATCAGCTTTGATTAACATTTCAGTGCATTGGTCACTCAGAGATTAGACCCAAAGCAACAAAGACAGACGAATGAATTTTATCTAGCCACATTACTATTCTGTATAATGGCTGTCTATATCAAGCAACTGATTCCCTGCAGTTTAATGTTAAAATTACCAATATATAGAGACCATTTGATCTATACGGGGTGAGTCAGAAATACGATTTTTAAGGTTTTTTTGCGATTTTTTTAAATGCTTTGGATTTTTTTTAGTTTTTAGTTAAAAAACACAATTTCTTAATAATATGGGTAGTAGATTAAATTTACAAGAAAGAAAATCCAGAAAAGATCCAGTGGTTCTTAAAATTTCAGCAATCATTTTTTTTGGAAATTTTCAAAGTAAAATAACTCGGCTATTTTGGATTTATTTGAAAAACGGTAAAGAGAAATTATATTTCTTTTATCGAGATCTATCAGCCCTGAAAATATTTGCACTTATTTAAGACTCACCCTGTATATATGTATGTACATTTACTAAAACATCGATTTTGTTTAAATGTCAAATATTTAATAATAAACAATATTTAAATTAGTTTATATATTTTAACATACTTCGGAAATCATCTTAATTTGCATGTAACTTGTACATATATTTTCTATTTTATATATTTTCTGATTTTTGATGGGAATTCTGTTTGTTTTGGGGGGTTTATTACCGATTTAACTTTGTATAAATATCTAAATCAGTGTTTCATATAAAATAATCCTAAATATAGGGAAATACTCTTTCAAAATAAATTATGTTAATTAAAATCTGTTCAAATTTGTAGAATAACTTATTCAACACCAGCTAGTTGACTTTGAGTATTTTCTAATCGCGTATATTCGACCCAAATTTATCGAATAGAGGATAGCGCTCAGAATCATAGACAGATGCGCGCAAGCGGGAGTGGGGACGTATTCTGAAAACACGGTACTGTCTACTGCGCACAGAGGGGCGGAGCTACTTAAATCCCTAGGGTAGTTATGACAAACTTGGTGTTGGAATAACGACTTACTTACTTCAAAGTTAGCCGTTACATGATTACTAGCTTGTATTGAATAAGTTGATACTTCGGATAAGCTACATACCAAATTATGATGCTCTGATCTAGATATTGTAATTCTCGAGAAATTTTAGCTCGCTTAAAAACAACCTGTATATCAGTTGCTCTGATTTCATGAAAGGATGAAAGATGATAAAGCCAGGTTTATTTATTAAACTTGGGGTAAATACTAACCGGTTGTACATTGGGTAATTCCGTTGTTTGGATGATCGATTGGAAGCTAGTTCTGTCGCTGCACTCCTCTAAATTTTTAGTTTTCTCAATGAGCAAACTGGTCTCCTTCGCACCTATTATTTTATAGGAAGTAGGGCACGTTCCTCGGACATCCTCTTCCTCTCCAGAGTAATCCAGATCGAACCTCCTCATTTTGTTCTGAAGCATGGATAAAATTCCTCGTTTGAAATTTAAGGGCCAGACTTTTTCCTCTTCCGGCGGACATATCTCGTAGATAATACCATCGCTAAAGGCAAACCTAATGCTGTGTTCGCTTATCATGTCCGCAAATAGCTGACTATTAGGCGAAGCTGGCTCCTCCGCGTTGTCTCTGGGGCCAATTTCGCTTAATGCTACTTCCGAAAGGGTCAGCAAGCCATCGCAGGGCGTAAGAAAATTAAGAGTCACATCAGCATCGATGAAGAGCGTGGATTCATTTTTGCTAGTTCCGTTAAATATGCTCCTGGCTTCGATCGAATACTTATAGGTTTGGTATCGGCCTGACTGGTATTTAAATTTATTGTTCCCTGAAAACAAATTGTAGCATAATTTTCACATAGCAGTAAAATAGACAAATTTGTATTCTGAAGCAAAAGCCATTAGGCGTTCAAGGGTTTAGGTGGGTTTTAAAGGAAGGGAGTAAATTTTAGGAGCTCTCAAATCGTTTGTTCTTTTTTGTATTGGCTGTGAATATCATTTGCCGTAAATCTACTGCTAAACTTTCTTTACTTATTTTCTTTCGTCTTGTGAACGTTTTCTAACTGTTTACTGACGAGTTTCTTTTATATATTACTATTTCCTTAAAACATAATTTTACCTTTAGCTAATTTAAAATTTAAGTTTTATGCTAATATACCGTATGATCGATGCAGTATACGTTAAATTTACTTTAACTTCAACTATTATATTATACGTTTTTAAATGAAACACGGTGCTTGTCAGATATAACACCCTTCGAATTTGGCATTTATTTATATATCAGTCGAAAGCATACACTTAAATAAGAATTTTAAGCAAAAAAAAATTGCGTATGAACCACAATTTATTGAAAAATAAATAAATTAAAAGTGAATTTTTACGTTATGGTGAAGTTGTATAAGCGTGTAATTATTGTAATGTATGACGATTATATACATTTTTTTATTAATATAAAGGTCAGAATTAATCATTGAGAAGCATTAGTAAGTCATAAATCAAAAATAGAGTTGGTGATATCTTTTGTAATATTTGCCTGATCGATTTACTCTTTCGATTCAAACTTGCCGCCGGAGCCGTCTGTCACCAATTGTTGTTAAGGATGTTGCGTATGTAAGCATTGTTGCCAAAGGTTTTCTTTGTTTGTATGATATAATACCGTATGATCGAAAAAAAACGGCGTCCAGTTGGCTTTGAAATGACGATCGATGACATTCCCCATATAATTTTACATATAAAATGACAGTGATGTTCATTTCATAGCCATGGCTGACGCCGTTTTTTTCGATCATACGGTACGTTACATGATACAAAAAAGAGAGCGAGTTGATTGCGTTGGTTTCAACCTTTTCGTGAGGGTGTAAATCTTTTGTTTTGTTTTTTATTTTAATACGAATTTGATTGCTTTCGCTTGATTTTACGTGCCGGTCGCCGGACGAACAAATCCTTATACAGTAGCGCTGTCACGAGAAGAACAGATTATAAGTTATTTTAAAATCAAGACATTGAAAGCACTCAGATTCGTATTAAAATATAAAAAAAAAAACAGATTAACCCCCAAAGAAGTTGAAACCAACGCAATCAAAACTCTTTCGTGCAACTTTGTAGTTATCAATAGTCAGATATCGTAGGCAAAATATCAGCTATGGGTAGGAGCAGTTCCTCAGGCCTTTTCTTGATTTTAAAATAATTTATAATCTATTCTTAACGCGAGTTTTCTTCCGACCAGCACACGTGTTTTTTTAATGAACCTTTCAAGAAGAAATGAATGAATCTGGCAACGCCGACAAAATTTGGAGAAGTTTTCGCATAGAAAGTAGCCTGTAGGGGGGTGACAGTAAACCGGAAAATTGGAAACAGTTCTGGCGCGGTCATACCCAGGCAGAAAGCATGGCCTTCTAGACTGTCCTAGACAAAAATCTGAATATTTCTATATGATTTCTGTCAATTTCAGTTACGGAACATTTTATGCACGTCGGCGTCCTCTTCTTTTGTCTGTGTGTCAGCCATGTGTCAACCCGAGGCCTCTGGCAAGGTCGGGCGCCATTTTAATTTTTGCCGTTTTAGATTTGAATGGAAGTTTGTTTATGATATTTCGGCTGAAATTTATAAGTACAAAAGATGTTTTTGATATAAAGTTCCTTGTTAACACTTTAATAAAGTATATATGATATTAATTACATGAAGAAAATGATGAAATCGACGTTTCTGGTGTAGTAGGTATGGGCCATATTTTATGTAAAAATAGGTATAATAAATTAACTGTTTTTATATTTTTTTAGCTTTAGATCCAAGGATCTTGGGATATTCTTTACCAAGGATTTTTCCGTATCTCTACTTTAAAGACTGATCGGTGATTTTGAGCAATTGAAAGCAAGTTACACAGGTAAATTATGATTATTGAACTATTATTAGCCTACAGCCTATATTAATTATCTACAAGATGAACAGAAATGCGTAATTACATATCACATAGGTACCTATTATGTATTTTCATAGCAATAATGCTATGTATGTAGATTATTTTTAAAATATAAATGAGGTATTAGATGTATATATGTATCATATTTTTTATTCATTTTATTTTCATTCAAGTGCTGTTTCATTTAATTCACAAAAGTCTTATGTACCTATATTTATGTTTTTTTTTACATATTTGTTTTTGATTCCAGGTTTTGCGTGGGTTCCTGTTTTCTTTTTCCTGCTTCCAGTTAGTTTTACGCCAGTGAAGCTGTGAAAACATTTATTTATCTTCAAGTTTCTGTAAGTCAGTGCACTGTTACATTACTAATTCACTTTAACACGGCATCTCTGATGTTATTTAAATATTTTGATATTGATACAGTAGTTTATGGGATTATAGCTCTTTAATTGTGTTGATTTGCATATTTACATTGTTCTAAATTCCAAATAAATATCTTTGAGTAATTTTGTTGTATTATTTACAACTAGAAAAAGTAAAAAGCATATTAACCCTCATTTAAACCTCCTGAACAGCCCGCCATTAAAAACCGGAAACGGAAATAAATTTCATAAAATTGAAATTGTCATGTCAATGAAGTGTCTATGTCATGTCAAATGTCCCAGCCGCCATATCTGAAAATTAGTTACCCAGGCAGCCACGCTGTTTCCATAATTTAACATTGACTTGACACTTCTTCTTGTATTTATTATTTTATGGTTGTAGCAATAATTAGATGTTAACAGTTTTTTCATTAAATTATGGATCATCCACACTTTTTTTTGGCTTGAAATACTTATTTCGATGTATGCTTTCGAGTGATATAAAAAAAAGTACAAAATTCGGAGGGTGTTATATCTGACAAGCACCATGAAACACTACTAATCTTGTTGCGTATTTATTCAAGTTTCAGCATAGGAGAGATCTCCACAATGCTGAGCACCGGTGTCTAGGCGCGGTATAAAATTACACATGCGCAAATTATAAAAATAGTTAATAAAATATACTGCAATCGAAAAAACCGGACAAGTGCGAATCAGACTTTCGTATCAAGACTATAATTTTTATGATTTAATTAGAAATGTATATTTTTCAATGAACAACATATAGAATATACACCGTATATCACCATATTATAACACCAAAGGTTCCAACCACCAACTTTTATGTAAAATGCCTAAAATGGAAATATTTTTGCTGGTTTTATAGCTAAATAAAACACTAAATCACCACAATACACCAAAACACTTTTACTTTTACACTGCACGCGCGTTTCGCTAACCATGTTAGCATCAGCAGCAGATGATTAAAACTCAGTTTTAATCATCATTTACTCAGCTTTAATCATCTGCTGATGATGCGAACATGGTTGGCGAAACGCGCGTCCAGTGTAAAAGTAAAACTGTTTTGGTGTATTGTGGTGATTTAGTGTTTTATTTTGCTGTGTAACTTGGTAACACCAAAGGTTCCAACCCCCAACTGAATCTGGTTTTATAGCTATTATTAATATTTTAATTCATTCGGGTAAAATATATAAAGTTAAGTTGTTGATTATTATACATTACGATGGTTAAAAGTGATCCATATTATGGATCACAATTATGGATTATGGATTATGGATGGATGTATAATAATAACATTAATAATAACGCAGGCGCCATTGTACTGTTAGATACGCATGCGTTAAATTATTTTTTAAGATATATCACAAACTAGATAATATTCGACTTACATGATTGCTTAACTTAGTTTCTCCACATAACAAGCGAATATTGTATTACCTTATTTGGAGCTAATAAACCACAATTTTAAACTATACATTTATACACCATTTATATAATTTTAATTATATTCTAACGATTCTAACCTCAAAAATAATTCTAGGGATTTTGGCTATTAAGCACTGTTGCCAATGCTATAGCGAAAAAAATATAAGGTTCATTCCAACCAGCAGTAATTTCCAGTAATATTACCGTCAGGCATGCGCATTCGTACAATGTCGTTCCAACCGGCCAAAATTACAAATTCAGAACTTGTGATTATCGTCAGTTCGTCGTTCCAACCGGAATTATCGATGGTAAAATTACGGTTCAAACGATTCTGCCTTGAGAGCAAGAACTGTTGGTTCTAAAATTAGAGGCATGCGCAGTAAGGTCGAAATAGCGGTCAGCTGGGTAGTATAGTATAAACTAGGTTAGGGAGTTGTTTTTGTTTATCTTTTTTGTTTGGAAAAATTTAAGAACGACTTTCTCTATTTATTTAAAGTATTTAAAAATTACAAATATGAATATGGAAGGTAATTTACTAATTATATATATTTTTGTTAAATAAATACCATTTTTATCTTATATGAGCAGGCATGGAAGAATTCGTTATTGTGGTAGAAAATGAAAATAATCCGCCTTCTACTACTACTTCTGCTGCTGCATCTGCTGTAGAGCTTTTTTTTTGGACCAACAACAATACAAGGCTCTTAATCGACTTGTACAAAAAATATAAAAGCAAAGTGGGAACAATGGGGATGAAGAATTTTAAAACTATGTGGGAGAAAATAGCAAATGAGATTTCAGAAATATTGCAGAAAACAGTAACATCCAAAAATGTTGAAAACAGGTGGAAAGTACTTGACCGCAATTTCAAAAAATATGTTGACAATAAAAATTCAACAGGACGTGGTAGAAAGTTCTTTGAGTTTGCGTCGGAAATGGAAGAAGCTTGTGGTAACAAAAAGAATATAAGGCCAGAAATTTTACTAGCAAATGAAATTCACATGCCAAAGCAAGAAAATGTTGAGCAAGGCCAAGGCCAAGAAACTGCTGAAACACCAAAAAAAGTGATAAGAAGGAAGACCAGGAAAACAGTACTACAGCA